GTGTACATCCAAAATAATATCTTGAAAAATATTTTAGTACTGTGATTTTTTTAAGTAAATCAAAAGTGAATCAAATCGTGTTTACAATTATTTAAAACTTTTCTTTAAATACAAAAAAACACTTTTTAAGCTGAATTTATCATCATCCTTTTTTATTAGAATTTTTAACACTTGGACCCCCACGTACTCAGAAATTAAAAATAAGACTTAGAATCGTTTATTATATAATCGTTTATAAGAACAGAACTTCACTCCAGCGAGCAAAGATTAAATCTGAACTGAAAACCAGAGTGAGCTTTATAAATAATCTCTAGTTGACTGGAAGTCATTTTACAGTGTCACTCTCTGACATAACACAAGCTCAAAAAGAAATACATTTAAGATCAAGAGCCACACAGCCACTTAAAAAATATGAATGAATGTTTTGGATTCTTCGCACTACTCGATTCAGTCTTAAGCAAAGCTTCAAATAATAAAGACACAGCACAGCATTCAATCATGTTTTAATTAAAAATTCGGCATTGATCTAAGCGCAACGGGTGTATCATTTATTGGACTCAACCCCAAAAACTCTTACTATATATGTGTCCATAAACACTGGTGGAGCACGACATTTAATTTATATTATAACCCGAATTGTATATGTAAATAAGATCCACTTTGCTGTAACTGAAACGAGCTTGCACGCTCGTCACTTATATGAAACTTTGTACTCAGCAGCGAAATTAGTTCAATACAGATCTTTGGTAAACACAGAACAACATTCTGTTTCATTGCACTATTTTGGACTCTAGTCTGCACACGGGCAGAAACAAATCAAAACTGGCGAAACTGGCTTGCTCTCCGCCAACCAAGTTTGTTCTCACCTGAAAGACAATGTCATAAAAGTACCTACCTCTTTAATTACGAAATTGCTATTAAAAAAGCATGAGGCAAACGCATCATCAACGACAGCGGAAGCATACTTCCTTAATACCCATACCAAAATTGGTTGACAGCGGCACTGCGTAAAACCGGTAATTTTGACAGAAATGGTATAGATCCGAAATGAAATCAAACTAAATCAACTGAAGGAATCTCACTTTACCCGATAAAAAATATTAAATAACATAGTCGTCCGATCCACAAGATTTTGATACCCTTGCAGAGGCTCTTATAATTTCAGTCAAAAGTTTGCAACGCAGTGAAGGAGTCATTTTCGAAAGTATATACATATATTCTTGATCAGCATCACCAGGAAAGTCGATCTAGCCATTTCCGTCTATTCATCCGCCTTCAGCCTGTCCGATTGTTCTTGAGGGAGCTATATGATATAGTTGCCCGATCCGGCTCGTTTCCTTTCGATACCTTTAAAACTGAAGGACTAGTTTGCGTAGAAACGGACGGACAATCGGAAATGGCTAGATCGACTGTCCAGGTTATGCTGATCAAGAATATATATAATTTATAAGGTCGGAAATGTCTGCTTCACTGCTTTGCAAACTTTTGAATGAAATTATAACACGCTCTGAAAGGGTATAAAAAAGTATAACTTTTTTGTTTTATCTTAATCGGCTTCCTTTTTACAGTATTTATAAACGACTTTCCTTCAGTTATAAGTCATTCTCGCGATGTTACGTGTCAGCCACAAAACTTTAAATACTTTAATAAAACACATCTTTTTGCGATCATATTTACTATTAAAATTGTTCACAATTGCTCACATCAACGAATAACGACAATGGCAGAATGATAATTATAAGTGTTGAACAACGTATTTATAAGGTGAGCTGAAATTGGAATACAGGGTAACTCAAGTGAAACTCATTCAAATTAAGGCGGTAAAATTCAAAAATGTATTTTCACCAGCAACATTCCCCTCACCATAAAACGCTTGAGTCGTTTTACCTAAGACGTTAAGCACCACTACTTCGAGATTTGGCGTTTAAGTGCACCAGTTGATGTCTGCACTTCCGCAATTAGGATTTGACCATCTTTTGTCTTAAACGTTTGGGTAACAAGGCCCTTCTTCCAGCCTTCTCCGGGTTGATTTTCGTCACAGATCAAGACTAGATCTCCGATTTGAATTGGCTTGTAGCACCATTTGGTGCGCTTTGTTAAAGTAGGAAGGTACTCTCTTATCCAACGTCTCCAAAAAACATCCTTTAGCTGCTGAGCAATACGGTGCTGTTTTCGATGACAGTAATTATCAATTTCTCCAGGAGTTTGTGTAGAGTTTACGGTTCCCAGTAAAACAGGTAGTAAAAGGTACATGTACATGTGTTAGAGGTCTACTGTTGATAATAATATTTTCGGCCTCTGTCAATAGACAATGTAGCGTTTCTGCTCTTGGTGCTTGCTCCTTTATAGCACTAACCATACAACATATAGACTGGTCATTTCATACAACGAATTTGGTCACAAAATTTTTCACTCGGGGAGCCCCAGTGCTGGAATTAGGCCCCGACACTTAAAGTGCCTTCGGGTTTTTTCGCTCTCGTTCTAATTCTTATTTTGACGCTCGCGCTCGAGTTCGGTCGTTCAGTCGCAGAGACATAGAGTAATAATGTATAGAGCCGTCATTTGCTCTGCCCGCGCTCTCGAGTGACTTTGCCAGTGATGCCACAGGGGGAAAAAGGAAAAAAAAGAGTTTTGCAAATGTTCGAATCGAGCCTGAATCCATGCCCATGGTGAATTCTTATTGCTGCACTGGTCGCTCTTATTCCTAAGGATAGGTGCGAGAATTCCCCATACTATTGCTTGTGCTTCGCACATGTTAGAAGTGGTGAGCAACCGAAGTTTGAAGAAGTTAGCTTCGAACATGGCTCTCAGATTCTGGCAGAGGCCCGTGAGAGCAAATGAAACCTCTATATAGTTTATTACTCTATGGTCTCTGCGACTGAACGACCGAACTCGAGCGCGAGCGTCAAAATAAGAATTAGAACGAGACGAAAAAACGAAGGCACACGAAGTGTCGGGGCCTGCCGATTCCAGCACTGGGGCTCCCAGTGAAAAAAAAAATTCGTTGTATGAAATGACCAGTCTATATGTTGTATGGTTAGTGGTGCCATGTTCGAAGCTAACTTCGCTTTCTCACCACCCCTAAAACTCCCCATACTATTGCTTGTGCTTCGCCCTTTCTCACCACATGTTAGGGGTGGTGAGAAAGCGAAGTTAGCTTCGAACATGGCACTCAGCAGAGCTTTGGCAGAGGTGCGGGCAGAGCAAACGAAACCTCTATATAGTTTCTTACTCTATGGTCAAAACAAAAATGCGAGCATGAAGTAAGAAGCTATATAGAGGTTTCATTTGCTCTGCCCGCACCTCAGCCAAAGCTCTGCTGAGTGCCATGTTCGAAGCTAACTACGCTTTCTCACCACCCCTAAAACTCCCCATACTATTGCTTGTGCTTCGCACATGTTAGGGGTGGTGAGAAAGCGAAGTTCGTTTCGAACATGGCTCTCAGCAGAGCTTTGGCAAATAACGTAACAAAAACCACGATCACGTATAGAGGCAGACCGCCGATTGAAGATACGCGAGATAGCTGAGACAGTAGGCATGTCAAAAGACCGCGTGGGTCCAGTGGCGGATCTAACAGGGCGAAGGACAAGCAAGTATGGGTTCGCGCACCTATCCTTAGAATAAGCGCTAAATCGAGTCCGAACACATGCAATATATGTTTCGAGAATTCATATTTTCCCACGGCGTGCGCATGTAACGCTGGCTACTAGAATACAAGTGTAAGTGTTTTATGACTCTGTGATCAAAAAGATTCGTATTGGCAGACAAACGCCGAAACAGAGTAATAATGTAAAGAGCTTTCATTTGCTCTGCCCGAGAGAGTGATGCCAGTAGCGGGGAAAAACGTGAAAAAAAGAGTTTTGCAAATGTTCGAATCGAGCCTGAATCCATGCCCATGGTGAATTCTTATTGCTGCACTGGTCGCTCTTATTCCTAAGGATAGGTTCGAGAATTAACCATACAATTTGCTTCAAACATATAAGCTTTTAAGAAGTGGTGAAAACCGAAGTTTGAAGAAGTTAGCTTCGAACATGGCTCTCAAACAGAGCTTTGGCAAATACGGCAGAGGCAAATGAAACCTCTATATAGTTTCTTACTCTATGCCGCCGATTGAAGATACGCGAGATAGCTGAGACAGTAGGCATGTCAAAAGACCGCGTGGGTCATATCCTGCATGAAAGTTTGGGCATGAGAAAGCTGTCGGCGCGCAACGGTGAGACCACTTCAGAGCAGTGTTTGACGCTGTTTAAGCGCAATCCGTAGGAGTTTCTGCGTCGTTTCGTGACAGTCGACGAAACATGGATCCACTGGTACACACCAGAGACCAAGGAACTGTCGAAACAGTGGATTTCACCCGGCAAACCTGCTCCGAAGAAGGCAAAGCCTGTCCCATCGGCCGGAAAGGTGATGGCTTACAATTTTTCATTCCTATATATAGGTATAAATAAAACAAATTTATAATAATTCTTTAAATTAGGCTTTAAGCAGTTTTATATTTCTTTACTACGCATCGATTAAGCGTTTTGAAACGCTGCCAACCGCTTTTCCTATCGAGAATTTGTTTCCACGCTTTTAAAATAAAAACTATGTGGGCGTGCGAATTAGCTCGACCCCTTTACTTTGTATGGTCAATTGATATATTTCTAGATTGGTTTTCCCAGCCCGGTTACACTGCGACGCTTTCCCGTGTAGGTTTATGCTCAAAGCGGTTGTTGTTTATTGGCCCATTTACATTTCAGCTTAACCTTAGTTGGGAAATTGCGGAAACCGCTCGAGGGCGTGGTGTCCACACATGTGTTTCTGGGCAAAGATATACTATAATTAATGGAGAGCTCGGAAAAAAATACTATATATGAGCAGAGACTTTTGTCTGGTCAGTCGGTGACTTTCGTATTGTTAATGTTGACATTTTACTGGGCATTGTTTCAGCTTTGAGATGGGCACATCCGCTGGCGCTTGGGGAATGGATAGAAACTACTTCCAAATAAGACAGTTTGAAGTCATTATTAATAAATTAAACTTTTATTTTATTTAACTAAACAAATGTTGCTTTGTTAATTACAAAAAGAGTCCAATACTAGTCTTAGAATTATGTGCAATAATTTTGTGTCTCAATATTTGCTCCAACAGAAAATAACTAAGAACAAAACACGGAATTACGATGCTATAGACTTGTGTTAATTCTTGATGCTTAGATACGAAGGACCCACTTGGCGGACGTACACACTCCGCTCGTTGGTCAAATACGGCGGACACTTGACTGTGAGGATGCCATCGGATGACAGTTCCGATCGGACGTCGTTGGGATAATATCCTCGGGGCAGGACGAACCGCTTGACAATGTGACGACCCACGAAGGTGTCACCATCCCGTCGCTTCTCGTGCTTGGCCTCCACAACCACTGTGTCCCCCGATGTTTTCACCGTGATCTCGTATGGCTTGAACAGGTGCACATCCACGTTGGCCTCGAAGCCATCCTTTCCCACAATGACCCGACTGAGATCGGGTGCGGATCCCACGCGAGATAATGACCGCTTCCAGTAGGGCAAGTCCCAGTCGTTCAAGTCCCAATCGCGCCAAAGGCGACGGCGGTAGTCCCAGTAATCCCAATCCGTGTTGTTTGTAGCCGGCACTAGAGCCATTTCAGAAGGTTTTTATTTGAATCCTCGAACAGGACGGACAGCAACGCAGAATCGAATTCACTCTTCACTTATCGCGTTCTCTGGGCGACGTTCACTCGCGTTTTCTGCTCTGAGCTAATTAAACTTGCGATCGACAGTAGCGGTCGCTTTTATAGCCGTAAGCTTCGCCCAGTGGGATAACCTAAACTCAGCTCAGCTCAGCTCAGCGAGATTCTAGTCTAGAACCAATGACAGTTGTGACGTAGTAGACACACGGCGAACAAAAGTGGTTGTAACATCAGGAAATTCAGGGTTACCCAGCAAATCATAACTGATGATAGTTAAAGGCTCTCTTGTGAGGAAGTTACGTCTTGGTTTCAAAGCCAAAACACTATCAATCAACCATTCTACTCCTCAATATCTGTGTTTGCCAGCAATATCTGTGTTTGAGACCCTATCTGCTTTACAATATAAAAATATATATACTTAACTGAAAACCCCAAAATGGGTAAGAAAAAATAAGAAATCGTTATAATTTCATTTAGTTTATGCTTTTAAAAATATAAAAAATATGAAAAAAAAAAAATTTTTTTTAGGAAAAATAAAAATAAAATTCAGCGTTTTCATTTTATTTAGATTTTGCAATAAAATAATGGAAAAATATATATCTTTTATTTGGAAAGCTTTAAAAAAATATCAAGACATTATATACAAAATTTTCTAATAATATGTTTCAAGGTTGAGAATAGATCAATAAAAATATTTTTGTTGGCACTAGTTTAAATAGTCTTCATGGATGTTTTTCCCACTGCAGCATTAATTGAATGGATTAGAGGCTGGGCGATGTTTTCTCGATTGTTTATCTTGGCTGTGCTTTCGCTGTTCTATTATAAAGGGGGCTGAACACTGCTGTGGGTCGAAATTGTCTCTTTTTTGCCATCAATGGAAATGCTTCTATTTGAATTTCATTTCCTTGAGGCGCTGTGAAGTCTTATGTTGGGTGGATTTCATGGGAGATTTGCTTCCGTAAGGGGGTTATTTTTAAAATATTTATTTAAAAAAAACGGTTTCTTTCATGAACAAAATTACATTTGGCTAAAAATTTTTCTTTGTGCCCATTTAAGTAAAATAGCTTGAACAAACATCTGCAGAAATTATCATTCTTCAATCAATTTTAAACATATGTATGCTTTTCCCTATTTTCCAAAAACTGACCTTCCCAAATTTTTTATAGCTTTTCCTTTCTTCTGGGAAATAATTCTTCCATATCGTTCTTGATTTAAAAACTATAATGGCAGCTTGCCAAAAAGTTTTCGTAGCTTTGGTGTTTTTGACTTAATTACTCACCGTTTCCGCCTATTAATTGAAAAAATCCAAAAAGCAAAGACAAAACATTTCTTTAGCGGAAATCCACAACGCTTTTCACTTTTTTACCAAATTTGGCTTTGAATTTTGTGTCTGTGCTTTTTCAATTTAAGTCGCTACAAGATTCAAATCATCAGAGATACTATGATTACAGATACAGAAACAATAGTTACACATATGTACACAAGGGGGGATTGAGTTTGTCATGACAATTTGGTGAAATTTTTGATGATTTTGCACAGCAGGCTTTCATTGAAAAGCCAAAACATGCTCTAAAATCGTTGCGACATCATCTACAGAACATTTATGGGCCTGTACTGCCTTCTCCTCTTATAAAACCCGTGCCCATAACAAAACACAATCATCGATTTGGATTGGCGTTGGCCCACCCTGTTTGTAATTGTATTTTGTAGTTCCAGTCGCTGGTGTTGTTATTGCCGTTGGTGCAATAGATTTTGCGTGTATTTTATAATAATTATAACAAGCTTCGCATCAATTTAGATGCCATTTGAGCTCGTATTTGTGCAATGTAATTTACAATCGGTCGAGTTCAATGAGTTTTTGATTTAGCTTAGTATGTCTGAAACACAGTCGGTGGTATACAAATAGAATCGGTAAAAATATAAATGTTATTTAATTTAAATCTTTGAGATTTTCCACATACCTTTATTTTTGAGCAACATTAGAGATTTAATATTTTTCCGAAGAATATTTTGATGTAAAATAGAAACATGAAAAATGTGGATATAAAAACGTACGATTAATACTATTATACCTTGCTCCATACATATTATTTGAACGATTAAAGTTAATCAGTTTATCAGCCACTTTTGTAATTTATCGCTTTGAATGCAATTTTTTATAAATTGTTTAGTGTCAGACTGAAGAACATTGCTCGTTTGAAAATCAATCGAAAAAGCCGCAGCTGCTGCAGTCTAAACAAAGCAATTGAAAAATTTGCTTGATTTTATGGAAATATAAAAATAAAATCAGAATTAATTCTCCGAGAGTGTGGGTTGCATATAACTTTCTTTGGAAGCGTGTGTAAGGGGCATTATCTAAGAGGTGACTTTCTATAATCACAAATCGCATTAGCATAGCCAACTACACACACCCACGTCGACCTCCAGCTTCTAGAAAGGTTGCCACCCCCTTTTTAATAGTTTGTTTGTAAAGGCTAGCGCAACAGTTTGGCCGGTTTTAAATTGAAAGAGAAACAAAAAACAAAAATTTTTTTTTAGCTTTTTAATTAATTCTAATGGATGAAGGTGTGAACCCAACCAAAAAAGGTTTAAGTTAACAGGGGTACAGTATTTAAACATTTTTTTTCTGAATGCACAACATTTCTAGAATATTTTAAATTTAATTTTAGATTGATCCGTGTAAAACATTTATGCAGTTGAACGTAGGTAAGCTAGCGCGTCTTATATTCGATTTTTGGGTGTCCAAAACTTTAAAACGCTCACCTGAAAAGTCGGTGAAGACGATCGTGCCAAATCTACTTGACCAATCGTTTTGAAATTTTGCACACCATTCTTTACTAACTTCCTCAGGTAACACTATAGTTTTTTTTTTTTAATTTATAATTTTTACAACAACAAACAACTCGGATTTTTGGGCGAAAATCGACAGCGTTACCTGGTCAAAATTATTTATTTAAATAATGCAATTTGATTTTTTCAATTCCGATGATTCTGTGACCAGTTACGATTTTCACCGCAAACCACCGGAATATTTTTGTATTCAAATTTCGCCACATATTGTTCAAATGTTGTAATATTACATGGTAACACAAAAATTTTATCTGAGACTAAAAATTCGTAAAAAATTACCGATTTTGCAGCGAATAACCAAAAAATATTCTTGGCAGGATGGTAAGGAAGTAAAAGCCCCTTTGTACACAAAACATTTTTTTTTGTTAAAAAAAAAAAACAATTAATGCGCTATTTCTTTGCTTTTGGTGTTGGCACTGCGCCGATCGTTTGTCGAGTGTTATCTATGGTCGAGGTGCTCTAGGTGCTGACGCATTTTAACGGCAGTCCATCGTGTAGGTGATTCACGGACAACTTAATCTTAAAATATCTTTAAAATTCAGAAAAAGATTTCTTATATTATGTTATCAAAAACAAGAAAGAAGCTTTATATATACCCTTACGCATACGCTACCGTAAAAACAGGCACTTAACCGACAGTAAAATCATAAAAGTTTTAAGCCAATAAAAACATTTACCCCTTCAGGCTAAAAGAGTGCTACAAAAGTTTTGAGCCAACAACGGCAAACGTAGCGTATGCGTAATACTTGTAGTTAACAACAGGCGGCAGAATGGCTAACAAATGAAGTCTAAGAAATCAATAAGGTGCACCGCTCACGTGTAAATAAAGTCGCCGGGCGGGGAAGTCGAGTGTAACAATAAATGGCCACCGAGACACTAAATATTCAGCCGCAAAAGGGCAACAATCACAGGCAGGTGCAGTTGACCTGGCCACCAGGCCACTGCAATGCGACGCCCTCCAAGGGAAAAAGGGAGGAAAAGGGGCAGAAAATACAAAGCACGGGCGAAACGAAAGCAAAAGTTCAAGTCGAAGAAAAAGACAGGACAGCGAAGAGCCAGCAGGACTTAAAACTGTAATTGGCCATGCGAAAAGAGCACTGCAGGTCGCAGGTAGCAAGTTGCCGGTTTCACTCCAAGAGAATGAGCTCCCAAAAGGCAGCCACAATAATAGCTGCCACAACACAGCCCAAAAACTGGCAAAGTTTTCCCAGAGAAACTCGTAAAATGACAAATAATATAGCTTAGAGTCGAACCTGAAATACTCTAAGGAAATTAAAAGATCTATAATCCGTCAAATGCTCATCCTTGAATGGATAAATAAATACGGATAAAATACGGATAGTCTAGAATTTTGAAAAAAAAAAATATTTTTTTAATATTTTAAAAGTATACCCCTTTAAGAATATTCTTTTAAATTGGTACGATGTTATGGACAGTATTTCAGATTACTGATTACGCATAGCTGTTCCGATGATTCTTAAAAACTATTTAAAAACTGCACGTGGTGATAAACCAAACTATTAAGAACTATTAATTATCTCAAATTTGTATATGTTCTTAAGTACACCATAGGCTATTGCTCGTACCTCGAAAAATTTTATATTTTCTCTCCTGGTGGGGCAATATTTAATTGATTTTTATGTTTCAGATAAATAGAAAAGCCAAAACCTGTCACGCCACCCAGGATAAATTAAAAAAAAAAATACAAAAAAAAAAAATACAAAAAAGAAAAAAAATGTATTCATGGTTGCCCTTAATCAAATTTGTTATTTTATTTCCTTCAAATTCTGTCTAATATTCTAGTTTTAAATTAAAGCAATAATCCATTAGAGTGGGAAACAATACATTTTTCATTAAAATAACATTTTAAAATAAATAAAATGTATATCATCTGAGAGAAACTAGTAACTGCCAAAGGAAATAAAACACATTTAACAAAGGGAAATATTAATGTCCTAAGAATTCTGATTGCATATGTTCATAAATCATATAACAAACAAAATGAAAACTTTTAAGAAATAGTATAAAAATGCTTACACAGATATATTTTTCTGTTGTGTGAAGGCAACGCTTCACACAAAAAAATTGTTTTAAAAATATACTTTGCTTCTAGATAGTTATCATACCCAGAGGCAACCTTCAACCAAATCCAGAACTACAACTACATTTCCTAACTCGCCCATTATACCGCCAGTCACGCCCACCAAAGGCGAACTCTCGTCCTGCCGCTGCACTTGTTTGCATACGAATGAGGGATTTATTTATAGCAGTGCAGGCAGGACTCTGGAGGAATGCGGATTGAGGAGGTGGCAGCCTAAAGGCGAACAAACAACGCTTGGCCCGGCCTATTATTCTATTTTTGTTTTGTGCTATTGAACCCAATAGACAACGCCAAACATTGAAATGGAAAGTGGACATGATGGGTTGGCATATACTTCTTTTTTCAAAAAGGGTGGATACTCTCCATCCACCTCGCCCACTGCAGTTTATTTAAAATTCCAAGACGAACTTTATGACGACACATCCTTGGGCCAAGATGCACACGGCCTAAGGACACTTTATACGTGGCAGTTTCGCGTCCACATGAGTCACCAAAGGTCAGCGTTTACAATACAAAAATTCGCATACTTGCACTTGAAAATTTTGTAAATGCCTTCGGACAGTTTTGAGTGTCAGTTGGCGAAAAAGCGGCAAGACAGTAAAATTAATGCAAGTGACAAGTGTTGTGTGAAGGACGTGTTTTGACCTTGCATGTCCGTTTGCCAGGGCCAAAATGAAACAAAAGTTTTGTTGGCAATGAAAACGTTTTTTAATGAATGTGTATGTAGGTAAAGAGGTCCCTTTAAATCAATCCCTTTAAAAAAATAAAAAAAAACATCCCTACATATCGTATTCGAAATAAATAAAGGTTACTAAAAGATAACCAAACACTGAAGAAAAGGTTTTAATATTATTATAGTTTTTCAAGTATTAATAATTTATGAATTGTATTTATTTATACAATTCGAACTTATAGTTAAAACTAAGAGCTAACAAAAAAAAAGGTTGGAGCTATAGCTGCTAGATGTTCTCAGCTCGCCAGTTGTAAGTATATTTTGTTTGTGATATTTTCATTACAATAGTTAAGTCAAGAAGTTTGAATAATTACGTTACGTTCTTATTATTTTTATTTATTAATATATTTTTATTAATTTCTTTTTTTTTTAACTTAAAAAAAAATTATATACCCCCTCCTAAGCAATCAACATTCTAGAAAATCTAAATGACATACAATTCAAAAATTGTACTTTGGACTCAAAGAGTTCTACGATAATAAAATGATAATATTGATATAATTCGATTAAAATTACAAAAAAACGAATATGTCAATATTTTAACAGCACTAACATTTTATAGAAATATGTGATATTATAAAATAATTTTTAAAATAGCAAAAAAAAAGGACGTATTGCATAAAATGATTGTTTAAACCCCCGCCATAAATAAAAACCTGTGAATTTATTTTATTCCATATTTATTTATTGAATCTCAAGTTGATTACGATTTTGCTGAAATCTATTGAATCGGAATGATATGCGTTGAGTGTTTTGTTCTTTGATAAAGTATGTAGTTACGACAATTTTCTTTTGCAATGCAAATGATCGTGTTCTGAGGAACGTCTAAATTACTTTGGTTATATCGGTTAAATGAGTGATGGCTAAGTTGGCCTATGTTAAAATGCTTTTCCATCTAGATAAAAGTGCTTCAAGAGCGTTAGTCCAAACTACAGCTAGGTAATTTTTATTAACATTTTCTTTGGGCATATATGATTTTGGTTTGGAGCTCTTAGGTATTACATTTATCCGAGAGATATGATGCTGACTTTTGACTTTATATTTTGTGTTGCGTTAAAGATATGAGTTTTGCGATACACATATATATATATTTATCGTATTTTTCTTTAATGTTTCGATTCTAAACTCTGAAAAGTGCAAACAGTGTGACTACATATAGTATACATATATATATAAAATGTTCTTCTTGATTAGTTGTAAATACATTTGAAATATTTTAGTTTTCAACATTTAGAATACATTTAGAACACGCAAGAGAATATCTGACTACAAAACTATAAATATATATTTATTCTGTTATACCTCTTTTCCAGCATTAAACTAGACTCACGCCCCGCCAAACTTTTCCGTTTGCAATTCTGCTACAAAATCTTTTTGCGATGCCTTTTATTCTGTTTTGCTTTTTTACTAATTTGAAATTGGGACCAAGGTCTTCTGTGTGTTTGTCCTTTGCCGTAGTTTGCTATTGACTTGTTTACAGTCCTCCGAAAAAAGGAAATTGAAAGCATGTTTCACTTTTCATAGGGCCCACCACCCCCACCTCTCACCATTTTAGCACAAACACTTGCCGACATTGTGGAAAACTTTTCCCAGCTATACTGAAAATTTTCCTTTTTTTCAACATTTTTCAGTTAGCTGGCAAAAATAGTAGAAAACAACATTTTCCTGTGTTTGTGTGAAAATGAAACATTGCTTTTGGTGTATTTTTGTTTTTTTGTGTGAGTGTCAGAAGACCTATTAAATTAAACCGCAATTTATTTGGCTTAAGACAGCTAACAGCTTTTATAAAATTGTAAAGAATGTCAAGCTCAACCAATACCTTAAAAGGGGTTTAAAAAACAAAAATTTTCATTATCGAACTGAGACCTCATCGCCCCTCTAGATTTACTTCAAATCTAAGTCGACACTTGACCTCGAGTTGACTAAACTTCCCATTGCAAGTAGAAAGCTTGCAATCAAGCCAATCCTTATTTAGAATTATGTTGGCAATAGGTGTTTATAAAAGTTTCCCTGAAAGCATTGTAACTCCATTAAAAAATTACCTTAAATCAAATAAAAACATAAGAATTACCTAACAGGTTTTGGTTTAGCTCGAATTTCCATTCCTTGATTTAATCAAACTTTCCCAGTATTAATATAATATCCATATATAAGTTATATCTGTTGCTTGGTATCAAAAAATTGTATAAAAAATTGTTGCTTAACAAATTCTTGGTATCTTAATTTTTTTGGTATAAATCTGGCTTTAAAAATTGAGTGTGTTTGGTTTTGCAAAAAGTTTTCGGTGTTGGTTGAATAGTTTCCCTTTTTATGTTCTATATTTTGAATACACTTACTTGTATAATTCTTGGTAATATTATTTTTAGCTTTAAGCTTTGATTTGCTTTTGGCCTGTAGTTGCTTGCAAATTGTGGTTAGATAATGTTTGCACTGGGAAATGGAATTAAACGAAGTTTTAAAATATGCATTAAAAAGGGAATGCATTAAATGTAAAATCTGCAGCCAAAATAAATTATCAAGAATTCCCGCAAATATTCTAGGCGTATATGTTACAAAAATGTCTACTTTAATAAGAATTTGATTATAATTATAATTACAGGGAAATGGTAAAACCAATTCCAATTTTTATAAAATGATAAAAAAAACACCGGCTTCCAGAGCCAATTCTCCATTTATTTATGTGGTGTAATTGGTTAATAAAACAACAAAAATGTAAATGCTTCTATTTCTTTCCTGCAAATGTTACCTGCAGTTTTAATTTGAAAATACTATTTACTATATGGTTAAAGGAGCAATAATTGTTACTAAATTCTAAATCAAATGCAAGTTTAAAGAAATTTGACAATTAAAATTAGAACAATAGTTTCTAGAACTAAAACCCTATTCAAAAAATTTCCTCACTCTTATTACCAGGCGAAAGTTTTTTCCAGTGCAAATTGAAATCCCTTACCATTCAAAATCCCTTTCGATAAATTCCATTAACCTCAATGTTCAAGCCAGAGGTAACCTCAGTGCAAAATCATTCACCAAGCACTCCGTTAAAACCCCAAGTATATACCTCTGACTGCGAATCGGAGTCGGGCGAGTGGGCCTAGTAGGCGATCCTGCCCAGACGCGTGGAGGGCAACGAGGCGGGCTCCGAGCTGGGCAGCTCGCCGCACCTCTGAAGCCAACTCCAGGCCTGGCCACAGACGACTCCGACTCCGGCCAACATTCAGAAGCAGTTGCTCCGCCGCTTCGAGGCCGTGGTATCCGTAACCGTGGTCGCATGCGTTACGGATCCACCGGTGGCCGTGGAGCTGATGGTGGAGGTCCTGGCGGACATCGCTGCTGGCAGCAGCCGGGCCGTGTTCTATGTCTTCTTGAGCGGCTGGCCCACTGGGGCGTTGGCCTTGGGGGTGCGGGACTTCTTCACCAGGAAGCAGGTGAGGAACTCAATGGGCGAGGGTATCTTCTGGAGGCTCTCCTCCGAGCTGGAGCTGGACTTGTGGCTCTCGGAGCGCAGGTTGCTGCACTTGACCTTGCCACTGGCGCCGGGTCCGGTCTCCAGAGCATGGCGATAGTAGTTCTTGCAGCACTTCTTGGACAAGTTGTACATGCGGACCGTGCGATCGATGTTCTCATCGTCCTCCTCCTCGCCGGCCTTGAGATTCAGGCCCAGACCGCCCACGCCCACGTCATGCGAGTGGGAGTTGACCATGCCCAGGCCCTTGCGATTGGTGGCGGCAGTGGCGACTGCACTCGACGGCTGGGCCTCCGATATCGTCTGGTCGTTCTGGGGGACCAGCTGCTGGGGCAGCGACACCTGCTCCATCGGCAGATGCTCCTCCACCGGCGGCTCCTCCTCCTCCAGGTTGTTCTGCGAGTCGTCGTAGAACTTGTAGCTGCGATAGCGAGTGTGCCTGTGGCCCGCTGCCTGAGACCAGTCCCGACCCGATCCCGATCCCGTCCAGTCCGTGCTGGCGGGCAGGGACAGTTGGATGGTGGGTGTGCGATAGTACTGGCGGTGCGGATGGAAGCCCAGGCCAAAGTCATCCATGTAGGACTGCGAGTGTATGTTGTCCAGCTCGTCGGCGACGCTCAGGAGGAAGGGCAGCGTCGACATGGTTGCGGTTGTTTCAGTGTTTCAGTGTTTCTCTGCTTTTTCAGGACTTTTAAGCACTACGTGTTTTGGCGCACCAAAAATGTAGGTATCTATGCTAGGTCTGAGGGACTAGTCTCCCTTTTCCGTACACACTCTCCCTGCAAAACTGCACTTGTTTGCTTATTTACTTTTCTCTATTTCTATTTCCTCTATTTGTTTTTTTTTTTTTTCTTCTTGCAAATTTTCCTCTGCACTTTTCACTCCGGCCAACACGACTGCACGGACTCGAAACTGAAACAGAACTGAAGGAAAATGCAATTTCCAACTAGCACACGACGTCGCATTTATGTTCATCGTGATGATGATGATGATGATGAAGACGATGATGATGATGGTGGGGAAACTCCTTCGTGAGTGAGAGAGAGATTTTCTCTCTGCGCTCTCTCCATCTCTCTGTTTTGGTCACGCGCTCAGGAAAACCCGATGCAGTCACTGGATTTGGGTTTATGTTTTGATTTCGCTGCTGCAACGCGGCGTATGCGTGATATTTTTGTTAGGGACCCGAGGCAAGGCGGCGTATGCGTGATATTGGGTGGGTGGTTTGCGCTGGGTTGGTAAGGGGATTTTCCCAGTTCGCGCCTTATTGTCATTAGTTGGAGGCTCTCGACTGCCGCGCGATTTCGTTTTGGCCTCCAGCGTCTCTGCCGCGTTTTGGATTTCACTATTTTCACGTTTTTCTTGCCTTTCAAGCGCGTCCCTGGACTGCAGAACGAAGGACAACGAAAAGTGGGTGGTGCAGGACATCCCTGCGGCCCTGGAGCCCTTTGTAGATGTGTGTATCTGTGTGACACAGTGCGGGGGGAGGGGTTATAGTAGCACGATAGGACGGCGGCGAAATCTTAGTGCGCAATAATTCATTTGCTGGCACCACTGTGAGCTGCGAAGGTTGCGTGTTTCGAAATTACTAGCTAAATCAATTCAATTTTTGGCTCGTTATATCCTCACTTAACGGCGGGGGTATAAAGTTCTATTAAACGTTATTTGGATGAACTAGAACTTTCTGGTAGCTTTCAAAGAATTTATTAACAAAATACCTTAATTTTAGATAGAAGAGAAATAGCTGTCAAGTAAATCTTTACACTAATAAAAAATAACTTAAAGATACCTATTAAAATTATTATTCAAATTTTATATTTTACCATTTAATTTGTAACAACAAAGTCCTTACATTTTTTTAAGCCCTATTTATTTTTGAATTCCTCATAAAGACATTATGTTACAAAAATATTCTAATACAAACACAATTGTTATCTTAATCATGTTTCTTTCTGGTTACTTCATTATGTTTTTGCTTCTGCATTAAACTTCAAGCTTAACAATAGACTGGATTAGTCTGACTTCATACGAAACCTATGCATAAGCAACTAAAAGAAATCAAGAGACGAAATGGAAAACAGGATATTCCAGCTCTAAATTGACCTGGGTGGAAAGGACATTACCAGCAGCCCAGGAGTGGAAAAACCCGGTGAAAAACTGCAGCAGAGCACACTCACAAAGACTGAAGAACACATATAGGCAGATATCCAGTTGGTGTCCTGTCTGGCAGTTAGAGACACTTAAGCCTGCGGTGAGCGCCTGTCGTTCGTCCTTTGTGCCACTTATTGAGAGCAATAGACAGCAAGAGAACGAACGAGTCGCCGAGAGGAAGGGCAGCAGCGACCCAGCTGGAAAAGGAGGTGCAGGGCATAAATCTTTTAGCACTTTATTTGACACACTTTCAGGCCGGAAAGCGGACATGTAGCCAGAGAGACATATAGACAGCCAGCCGAAGGGCCAGGACGGAACGTCACATGCTCATCAATCGGTCGCTCACATTTGCAACAATGCAGAGTGATGTCCGTGCACCTTGGAGAGGTAGTACACGGAGAATAAAATGTACAGATGTGTCCCTGAAACAATTACACATTTTAAGTAACTCATTGATTATTGTAAGTTTGAACTTTAATATTAATCAGTTGATTATTTACTTTATTTTATTAACGAAAATCAAAATTATTTTGTTTCAAAATGTACTGCAACTTTAATATAAATGTTACAAATAATACATTGTAATATTTATAATAATATTGTTCCAAAATTAAATTACTTTTTGTAGACACTCCTAATTAGGTAAGTTCAGGTGCACTTAACTCTTGTCAAACATTTTTCTTCCCAGTGCACAGGGGTTCAGAGACTGGCAGACGATGACAGTTGACGATAAGCGGTCGAGTGGCTGAATCCTTGTGTGCCCTGCCCCCCTTGCCCCTCTTGCTAAGCCCCTCAAATGTTGTGACTGCCTTTGGCTTGTTGTTGGCCAAACAAACACTGCCGAGAGAAAGGCGGGGAGAGGGCGGAGAAAGGGCCAAAAGAATCAGCAGAACCTTCTTCACGTTGGCCTCATTTGACTTTAGCCTTTCCCTCGCTTAATCCATTTAATTGCATTTTTTCGTACTTTCTGGTGCGGCAGTTAAGCTTCCTCTTTTGTTCTTGTGCATTCCAGTGTTTACGGGGCGTATGTGGAACGTGAGAACGAATTACGCATACGCCCCAGTAACCCATACGTCAGGGCATTCAAATATTCATTTGCGATTTGGTGGCTAATGAAAATTCGTTAGAAATGCATTCCGAAAACCACCCAGTACCCCGCCACCCGACTTGTCCTTGTGCCACTTTCAATCCAACTCTTTCGACTGAGCGACTGTCTGACGTTCCGTATCAAATTATCTATAAATTGCGATTGCCTAGGCACGCCATCAATGCAAAGGAAAATCCTCAGCAGGAAATGGAGGAGGAGCTGGGTGTGGATAAAACCAGTTCGTGTTCGCTGATTGTTCCTTTTTGCCTTACATTGTCGTGTGAAGTTTTTCATATCACTCCATTGAACATATGCACGGATAGCTAGTGATGGGAAGTCTAGCTAGTTGTACCCAAATAAATATATTTCACAATTTTATTGCTTTCTTAGATGAAATAGGTGCATTACATTCAGGGTTTTATATGAATTTATACCTTAACAAAATTATTTAATTAAATTGTAAGGCACATTTACAACTACTAATGATGAATTTAAAATTGTGGTAAGCCTTAGCCTGCACACAGCTTAATTTTAATATTATTAATATTGATTATAGTAATTTAAAATTTGGAAAAAAGGATATATATCAACTAATAAGGTGTGTATTTCGTTAAATAAATAAGAGATGTATTCCCCATCACTACTTACAACATATAGGCATACACTAGCACAATCAATTTGCCAATGAGAAAATAAACAAGAAAATACGCAAAAAAGAAGAAAATGAACGTAAAACTGCCTTCTGCCAAGTCTTGCCATTTGCCCGAGATTTGAATTTAATTTTGAGGTCAGACAAAGGCAAAGAGTTTTGGGTTGGGGTGGTTGTTTGTGACTCAAGTGTTGCCTGCATAAAAAAATGCAATAAATATTTAAATTACTATATCCACATGCTGCACGCAAATGGAGAACGAATCCACAAGGGTTTTGCCAGAGGAGCGGGGGGACTTCTCGAAAAACTAGGCTAAATGTGGATCGCACTACAAAATAATTAAAAGAAATGTTGCAAAGAAATTGAAATGAGTGTCGAGTGTCGGAGGCCCATTAAATGTTTAGAAATTGGCAAGGGAATCGTTTTATAACAGCAGAGTTTATGGAGAATTTAACAAGTAGATTTATTGACGTTCTATTAAGCTAAAATTTGAAAGCAAAAATATTAAGTTTAATATTAAAATAAAAAAGTCAATACAATTTTTTATGTCATGATGGTGACATGGTACATATATTAAAAACAACTATTAGGACTCTTGACATACTTTTTAAGCCGCATTTATGTTTAAAATTATACAACATTTGCACTATTTCTTGCCATTTAATTGTGTCCACGTCTCAATCTTTTTCTATCACTCTTCGATCCGCCTAAAATTTTTCATATTTTGGCATTTGTTTATTATTTAAAGCTTTACATTTTTGCACAACATTCAACAAAATTTATGCGAAGAACAACAGCAACAAAAAAACCACACCGAAAACTGAATGGACAACAACCGTGTCAAGTTCAACAAAAGCTTCACCCGCAGCCAATCCAATCGCTATTGTTTTTGTCTTTGTTGCTGTCTTACAAGTTTTTACATATAAATTTCACGGCACGCGCAGCAATTCGAAAAACCTGTTAATGCGTTTGTCCAAAAAAGTGGATTCAAGAGGGAGGGGTCTTGCACCCACGCCAACTTCAAAAGAGAAGAAAAAGAGAGTCCCGAAAGTGAAGAGCCGAAGAAAAGAGTACATATGTATAAGCTTGGAAGAGTTTTAAAAGGGTCGAAGGGCAGAGAATTAAAAAACTTTAAAGGCTTTTGATAATTCTACAAGACAAAATATATCATATCACTACGCCGATTTAAGTTTAAAAATATAATATACCCTTTTACTCTACGAGTAACGGGTATAAATACAAAATGTATACTAGGCACTAAGAATTTTCTACCACAATTACATTTTAAACTGAAATCAGTTCGAAGCTGTAAAATGTAGATCAAATCATAGAAATGATTTGAAAAAACTTATAAATTTGGTGGCAGCGTTAAATGCTCACTAATTACTCCATAGTACAATGGAAAAATATCAAAGTAAGTGCATTGTTTACCTCATAAGTCACAAATTTAAACATTCAACCTCTTCTTTCCTTTAAGCTGTCTATTATCTTCTCAATATATCAAGAATAATACAAAATTGCCACATTGCCCTTCTGTGGCCTCCCCAAATTAATCAAAGTTGGCTGATTAATAACCTCAATGTAAATCTATAACCGAATCAGTTCAATTAAACAGAGTGCATCATTAGAACTGTTTGATGCCAGATAAAAACAGGCAATATTTTATTTGTCAGGGTCATGTTTTATCCACCCACTAAGATACACTAAGCGAGCGGAATTTCCTTTTTGACCAAAACAAATATAGCGAAAAAGTGGCATGACAAAAACTTGCACTAATTTGCTAATGAGCGGCTCATCCATAATTTAAGTGAAATAAAATGTAAAGTAATATTACAAAAGCAGAGCAAAAAGTCGAGCAACTAACTGCAAACGTGTTGCTCATTAATGGCCCAAAAACTTAATGAAAAGCCCTCGACAAAAGTTTCGAGGAGCGTTGCGCATGCGCTCTTTAATTTTTCCCTCTCAGCGATCGCTTGGCTTAGGGCTTTTGCCCAAAAAACTACAACCTACTACAGCTGAAAGCCATAAGTCAAAGCGTTGTCATCGCAGCTCGGCTTGAACTGCCAGTCGTCAGCGGTTGTTCCGTGCGGTTGGATCTCCGGTTAACAAAGTCACAGAAATCAAATACACTACCAAGAAAATCTCAATAAAAAATCGCACTTAGGGCCGCCACAGAAGTACCCAAGTATTTTAGTGTTATTCTGCTGATTCATTTCGCTTTGTGACGGAAGTTTTTCCCATTTCCCCCGTTCGCGTGCGGCCATTAATTTGAATGTGCACCTGATTTGTATCGCAATCGAAAGCCGCCCACTATTTTCCGGTCAAGTTCGCTTACGTTAACCGAGAACCAAATATATATGCTCCACCATTAACCACGATTGTCATTTGGCCGGCGATGCCTCAATGGGGAAGACCAGAAAAAAGCTATTCCTTTGGCGCGTGTGAAGTTGTGACTCGACCCAATTAAGCAAAAACGCAAATATAATTAACAAAAATATTTTAATTATACCAGCTGATGGCGGCAAAAAGCTTTCACTGCAACACAACAGCCAAACCCGTTTTCATGCTTAAAACCCTGCATATACATATATACGAATACAGTTGTTGCTCTTACTATAAGGGACATAATAAGATATAGTAAAAGACAGCAGCCAAGCGGCCGCGTCGCATCGCATTCGGCAACTTGTTTATTTCAAAATTATATATAACAAACACCAAAAAAAAAAAAGCCCCAAAACGGGTATCTTATAAATAGTGCGCTTTGTTTCGGCACGCAACAACAAGATCGACACCCCAACAACAGCGGCTCTCACTTGACGTAGGTCAGGCCAAAGCTCCGCTCGATCAAAGAAAAAAAGAAAAAAGATTCCACATCTGTTGCCGGCGTTTTGATCGAAAAAAGAGAGGAACCCGATAAATGGGTCTCGCCCCATCTCCGTAGACTCCATCCATCCGATCGTCTCCGAGAAAATGCTCCACTGGTCCCTGATCGTCAGCGCCCTGGGCGTCTGCGTGGCCGCCTTGGGCGGCTACTGCGGTTGGATCCTCTTCCCCAACATGGTGCACAAAAAGGTCGAGCAGGTGAGTGCCCCAAAAGGAGAATTTTCAATGAGAAAAACGGAGTGCATGCTGCCTTTGCTAAATTAAATGAGGATATTGAATGAAGATTGAAAGAATTAAATCCTATCAGAATAAGATTAAAAAAACAACGAGAAAGCCATTGAAAATAGTTATTGTACAAAAATAATATTATTTATTCAAATCTTTGGACTTTTACATATAAAAACAAGAAAGGAAGCAAACTTCGGCAAGCCGAATCGATAAAATTCGTGCTTATGAAATATTTTTATTTTATTTAACTGGAATCACTTGTTATCAGGCCAAACTGATTGTTGTTTGACATAAAAATTAGCCATATGGTTTCTTTTTGCTTTCATACAAAATTTGAGATTAAATTTGTGGAATTTTTTCGCAGAATAAGTTTTGTTTGGTAAACATATAGTTTATTAGTATGTCAAATTAGAATCAAGTTAAGAAATCTATCCGCACATGGCGCGGTTTTTATACAGCTAGATCGACTCTCCTGGTGATGCTGATCAAGAATATATATACTTTATTGGATCAAAAATCTCTTCTTCACTGCGTTGCAGACTTTTGACTGAATTAATAATACCCTCTGCAAGGGTATAAAAACAGTGACATTTTTACCTTTTTCATTTTGTTTATGAAGTATTTATTTCATCTTTAAGGACATTTCGCCAATACACTAGGTTAATATTTATAATTTTAACTTTTTTATTTTCTGAACTTAAGTAATTAACATGGAATTTTCAAATAAAAACGTACACAGAATTTTACTTATAAATTCTTCAAATAAAAGTTTTTTTTATTTCGAGCTAACAAGTCCCTCCTTTCATTAGAAACTTGTCATAGTTTCTTGGTCAAATATTTAGATTTCAAAGTTCACACAGATATTTTCTCTCACTGACCAAACAAAGGGAATATAATGATTCTATTGTTGACTTTTGCTGACTAACAAGTGGCAAACCGAAAGCTGTATTGCCAATACTCACTGAGTTAGAAAGAATTATAGTTAGTTAGATGAATCAAGCAAAGTTCAAAGTACCAAGTAATGAAATATAATTAATTAATGATGTAGACAGATTTAATTACTCAATATATGGTTGGAATAGAAACAGGTTTGCTTATTTTTCAAGTTTATAAGCTTAAGAGCTTTGGTAAAACTAGAAGTCATCTTCTTTATAATTTCCTTAATTACATTATTATTTTATTGGGAATCACACCATCAGATCAACTGTTGACATTTATTATTCAAGGGATAGCAAATACTGATCTACTAAGTTCTGACGTAGGGAATGGCACGACAACCCAACATTATTCAGCTTATCCGTAATGACATCTTTGGCCACATAACCCACCGGCTGTAATTCCCCAAACCATCGCTTTCCACGCTCTCTAACAAGTCTAATTGCCAAGCCAACAAGTGCAATAGAATCTCATTTCCCTTGTATATATCCGAATATGACATGAAATAATTACATATAGCTGGAATGGTAATAGAAAACCGATCCCTTGGGTCACGCTCTCGACGAATGCCAAATGCAATTGAAATGCCACGAACGATGCGAATTAATTTGCTAGTCAAATGCACTTTATTATTATTGGGTTATCCAATCCATTAGAGCCAAAAACAAACACTTAAATTACTAGTCATGTTCTTGTCCTTCAACGCATTTAATTTATGACCAAGTTGATAGGCGTGACATTGGGTTTGTTCAAGAATAATTATTCCACTCGGTCTGTAATTTCGGTTTAAAATGTTTATTTCGGTATTTACAAATGTTTAATTTTGTATTTGTAATAATTAAATATAAAAAAGGTGTACCAAATTTAATTTATTATTTGAGAACGGCTGGCTTGGGAAAACCCTCGCAGATAAAATTGCGTCGAGTATTGCTGGTTTTAAATAATATGATAAAAATAATTTATTTGTAATTTTTTAAAGTTACTTCACATTTATTTTTCCCTATAAATTAATGACTCAAAACCAATTAAAAATTAGATAAGATGTTGTTAATTGTATCATACTTCTGCGAATATGCACATGTTTAATTATAAATATTTATTATCATCATTATTTTCATTTGAAAATTTGAAGGCAAACACTTAATTTATGCCTTTTTTCATTACGAAAGCTTAAAAGTTTTTATCAACCAGGACTAGCCAAGAAATCCTTATGTATTGTCCTTGGATTAATTAGGTTGGTGCAAAAAAAACATATATTTTACTTCTATTTTATAATATAATTAAATATATAAAACATTTTCGCAGATTATTTTCTTTACCTTAAAAATGCAGTCCCATCGCGAGGCGCACGCTTGCTGAATCAGGCGTGACATCTTCGGCGCTCAGTGCCAAGGCAACTAGAAGTACTTGGGTTGACTTTGAGCTGAGGTTTGGGTTTTTATTGTAATTAGAATGCAAACACAGAGTTTTATCTTTTTAGTCACCACTGGTTTGTGCGGCTGTGTTTGCTCTTTTTAATTGTTGTAGCCAAGCCAAGTTAATTGCTCTTTTTTGTAGCTGTGCCCCTGGAACTTGGTTTGCCACCCATAACGCTTTCGGGCCGCAAAACTATTTTTACGAGCCATCGTTAGCAATGAACTTCCGTGTGTACGCGTTCGAGATCCCATCTAGAATGGCCAAAATACCCTCGAAATCGGAGGGCCTTCAACTTGAAGGTGGACCGACCCTTGCACATTAACCATTTCTATTTGGAATTCAAATGCAGACGCCAAAGACCCAAAAACAGATGGCCAAAACAAACGAGTCATGAATTGAAATTGAAATTCAAAGCAATTGAAGTCTATTCGATGGTCAACATATATGTTGTGCAATTTAGTTCGCCGGCAATGTCAAACAATCGCACCTCTTTTTAGGCCTCTATATTAGCTATTTACCTTTTCTTTTAATCATTCTGACCCATATTTTGTCTACTATTGTTTATACAAAAGTACCCTTATCAATATGTGTACTTCAATAATTATTTAAGCAATTAATATATAATAATAAGTTATCAGTCTGGAAGAGCTTAATCAATTTGTAGCTGGTGCATGTATATTGGCAGACAACAACCATTTTTTTGTAGAAATGAAGAAATGAACAAGCTTAGAACATTTTGACTAAGATATTAAAACATAAAACCATAAAAATATATAAAATATTTTAATTTAATTTATTAGATAAAAAATTGTTATTACCAGTGAGATATTACAAATTGGAAACCATACATTTTCGATAAAAAAGCATTTTAAAATATTACAAAAATTAAAAATCTTATAATATTCCAATATATAGCAAAAACATAAACCAACCCTTCATCTTTTTAGTACCTCCAAAAAGTTTCGCATACGCCCCATTGACCCAGCACATTCTTGTCCAAATCGAATTTTAAGCAAAATTCAAATTTTAAACACGTTTTGCTTCGGCCTGTCGCTTTGCCAAAACCGCTCTATTTCGCAACAATTATTTGTAGTTTTTTTCTGAATGAATTTTGGGCCATTGTCAGCCGTAGTCTGAGCCTCTCTTTGGGTCTTGAGGTTAATCAAACGTTTTGTATGCTCTTCGATATGCTGAGCTGAACCGAACTGCGTGTGCATTAACCTTGGGATCTGCCTTAGTCATATAAATATTTACCCAGATTTTTGTGTAGCTTTTTGACAATTTTTCAATTGTATCAAGTGCGAGGGGCAGACCGTAAAATTATATTGCTGGTCATGTTTTGAACTTGTTTTCAACTTTTATTTATGTTTCTTTGGTGGGCCTTTTTATGTTTTGCCAATTTTTGTTTTTGTGAGCTGTGAATACTTTTCTGGCTACTGGGTTGTAAAAATTAAAATGGAAGGTTAACAGCAAAGGTTTTTTTTGGCATGGGAATATTTTTTCAGGTAAAGCACAACCTAATTAATAATATTGTTTTGAAAAAACACGAAATCAAAGCAAATTTTTCACTTGGTCATTGATCTTCTCTTTCTGTTGATTATTATCAATTATAATTACCACGATAAAAAATAACAATAGGAATTTCTTTGTGGAGAAAAATAAATAAAATCTTTAACTGAAAACAGGTTCAAATTCAGTTTGATATCGGTTTGTGATATTATGATTTGATTTTTATTGCCTCTACGGCGTCATTAAATGTCATAAAGACGCGACTTAGTCGCGTGATAATCAACCTTAAAATTTGTACTGATAAATATTGATTTGTTTAGCATCGGGCAGCCGAATAAAAAATAAAACCTGTCAAACCAACTTTAAGTAAAACATAGTATAAAATTTATTCAAATTCAGTATTAGAAGACAAATATTAAAAGTAACTAAAATTAAAATTTTAAAAATGATGTCATACTATAAATACTAATCAGCATTCATTTGATTGTGATTTTTTACTATGACAGTTTAAATGTATTTAAATATATCCATGTTTATAGATATTCATTTTAATTTCGTGACAATTTATTATATTTCGCAGAGCGTGATTATAGCAGATGGCTCGGAACAATATAAACGTTTTGTTAACCTGCCCCAGCCATTGAACTTCAAGGTCTACATTTTTAATGTAACAAATCCGGATAGGATACAACAAGGTGCCATACCCATAGTCGAGGAAATAGGACCCTATGTATACAAGTGAGTAAATAAAATATAAAATTGGCATAGTAATATCAAAAAATGTATAATATTTTCAGACAGTTCCGTCAGAAGAAGGTCAAGCATTTTTCGAGAGACGGGTCAAAAATATCCTATGTGCAAAATGTGCACTTTGATTTCGATGCAGTGGCCTCGGCTCCGTACACCCAAGATGATCGGATTGTGGCGCTCAATATGCACATGAACGTAAGTTTAAATATAAATAGATAAAAATCAAAATTATAACATCAACATACCTCCCAAGAAATTACAATTTTAATAATAAATTTACAGGCATTTTTACAAGTATTCGAAAGAGAAATCACAGATATCTTTCAGGGTTTTGCCAATAGGCTAAACTCTCGATTGAATCAAACTCCAGGTGTACGAGTCCTGAAACGATTAATGGAACGTATTCGAGGGAAACGTAAAGTAATTTTATCAACTACTAATTTAATCGAGAGTAACACCCTCGCAACTGGTGATGGTCAATCTGACAAAAGAACCCGAACCAATTCGGCTTTGTCCAAATAGATACTCTATGCAAAGATTTACTTAATAGCATGCCTTGGTAGATTTTACGTAATGGTAATGGGTTTTCACGGTTCTGCGATGGACGATACCATCGCCCGGCTCTGTTTGTCTTTGTTCTGCTTTGGGACCAGCGATTTCACCAATTTATTATTCCTTTTATTTACCGTTTTCAGTTCATTGTTTATTAATTATGATTTCACCCCAGGCGTGCGTCATCGGATATGGGGGGATCTTTTGGATGGACTGTTTATACGTCATTAAGCTAATGATATTTTTATTGCCGATTTATTGCGCCGATTGTGTCCGATTAACCGTTTAGGCAGTGGGTTAGGTCGGGATCGCAATAGTTTTTTTTTAATGGATATCAATTTTGATGTTTTGGGGACATTTCAATACCAAAAAGACATTTAAATTATTATTCAGACATAATTAGACATTTCAAAGGGTCTGTTTTGCTTCATTAAAATTCCCTTCTAGTAAAATGTACATTGAATCAATTTTATGACTTAAGAATTAGGAAACAAGTGCATTTTAAATTAATAGCACTTAAGATGCATCAAGTTCTTAATTATTCTAAGCAGTAGATTAACACTTCAAAATATACACCATTGCTATGGCTTTAAAATTTAAGAAAATTTCAAAGTGCACCAATAATTTGGAAAAATAAAACAGATAATCTATTTGAATTTAAAATTGGCATCTTTTGGGAAAAAAAGTTCCTTTGTATAAGATTTTATGAGAAAGATTCCAATAAATCGAATTTAATGTCCCCAAAACTTATAGCTCCCATTAGCTGGGTACATGGCATCATAATCAGCATTGTCGATGGTGTCAAAGTAAGTTGACCAGCTTTTCAGATTTTCTGACAGCTTTGCAACTATTTAATTATATTAATTGCAATTCGGCGCATCTCCTACTCAAAACTGAAAACTTCAAACTGCCAAAGTCAAGATCATTCACATCAGACGTAGAAATGCAAAATTTTGATTGGCATTCACCTTGAGTTCCTCTCGTCTATGTAAATATTTTGATAAATTGTCGACGCGATCTGGCGACTGGCGAGGAGAAATCAATGGAAACGGCAGCTGAAAACCGAATGATTGGAAACGTCAATTTTCTCACACATCCAACGCAAAAACATAATTAATAATAACAAATTTGAGCTTGTGCTTTGCTACTAATATATGGCTAACTGCTCCGCCCGCTGCTAATGCTTTTGAAATATTTTTAAATACTAAACATTTGCTGCCTTGCCTTTTAGCTTTGGTCATTATTCGCTGCATGTTCCTTAATTAACGATACGCCCTCTTCAACACTTATATTTTTAACAGTCTGTTCTGCAAATATCGGAGAATGATCCTGGCTTGGCGCTACTCCTGGTCCATTTAAATGCCAATCTCAAAGCGGTCTTCAACGATCCGAGATCGATGTTTGTGAGCACTTCTGTGAGGGAATACCTCTTCGATGGAGTGCGTTTCTGCATCAATCCCCAGGGAATCGCCAAGGCTATTTGTAACCAGATCAAGGAAAGTGGTTCGAAAACCATTCGGGAGCAGAGCGATGGCAGCCTGGCCTTCTCCTTTTTTGGTCATGTGAGTAAAATTGAACTGAAACACAGAATAAATCCTCTGTGGAGCTCATTAATGCACTGTTATTATGGCAAAAAACAAAGAGTCTTTGCAAATTTTAAATAATACATACAAAATACTAAATATGTCTTCATTTTTCCCCTTAGAAAAATGGTTCCGGACACGAAGTCTACGAAGTCCATACTGGAAAGGGGGATCCCATGAGGGTATTGGAGATCCAAAAACTGGATGACAATCATAATCTACAGGTGTGGCTCAACGCTAGTACAGAGGGTGAAACATCAGTCTGCAATCAGATAAATGGAACTGATGCCTCCGCCTATCCACCATTTCGTCAGCGGGGGGACTCCATGTATATCTTCAGTGCGGATATTTGCAGATCAGTGCAGCTATTTTATCAGACAGATATCCAGTACCAGGGAATACCTGGATACCGGTACTCTATCGGCGAGAACTTTATAAACGACATTGGACCGGAACATGATAATGAGTGCTTCTGCGTTGACAAATTGGCGAATGTGATTAAGAGGAAAAATGGATGTCTATATGCGGGAGCCTTGGATTTGACCACCTGTTTGGGTGAGTGATTATAAGAATTCCCTAGATTCTGATTCTTGCATTCCCAGTTTTCAAAAAACCAACAAAAATATTTATAGAATTTGCTAAATGAGGTAACAAATGCTTTATTTAAAATTTTTATTACCTTATGTTGTACAAATATCGTCATTTAGAAATGACAGATTTACCCCTTTGAACACATAACAAGACTTTTTGGGAATGTTTATGTTGTGTCTTCATATACAAATGTTATCTTCCGCTTATCTTTAGTTCCTCAAGTTATTTCACAGTATACGCCAAATTAGCATTCCAAATGAATTACCATAAATTAAGTAGATCAAAGACTTTTGTCGGTCTACTCTTAAAAAGGAAAAAGCAGAGGTTCTTTAGCTCAACAAACTATTTACATATTCATCAGAAAAAATGTAAAGATCGAAATAAAAACTTATAATTTCCGTAAATTGAAAAAAAATAATTACTTTAAATGTTCGGTTGAAAAATAATTAATATGTAAACATATCAAAATACAAATTGTTAGCATGATATTAGTTTTCTTAGATTTGGGGGATTCCCTTTTTAATGAATGAATTGTCAAAAAAATAAACAATGGTTCCCAAAGTTCCATTTCTTAAAAATGAGTGCTTCTGTGCTCCTATTGATTCGATTCTCCGAATTTGGTTAGAGTATTAATAATTTGATTCAGCGGCTTTTCAACCTTCATCAGATTATTGGAATAACACTGATTTAATTTAATTAGCATTTTATTTATGTTGATAGTTTAGGTATTTGACAGTTTGTTTCCGATCTTATACTTTGTTGTCACTTAACTCAAATTTAAACGAATGTTCGATCATTTTGATATAAACTTTATCATTAACTGGAGCATTGCTAGTCTAAACAGCATATGGTCACGACTAAAAATAATGAAAAGACTCAAACAACGAACTTTTAGTTTTGTAGAATATTGGAGATAAAATACACAGGGAAACCGGAAATATTTTGAAAAATATTTGACTATTTTTGCTCTTTGTATTTTGTTATGCAAATGAGCCTTTTTAATGCGGTGTTGTGTTTATTTGTTTTATGGCGATTAACTGATGAGGCGAACTACCCCAGATGGCACCTCTGTCATCAGTTTGTGGTCGATTACCTCAGTAATTAAAAGGCAGGCAATTATAAATCAAATGGTAATCACGGTACCACAGTTGCTGCCAGATCTAGTTTGGCCATTTATATGCAAATGATCTGCTTGGGAAGTGCAAAGCGAAGGCATCAAGAGACACGGGCCATAAAATTAAAAACTGAAAAGATATAAAAGATCTCTATAAACACGCGCTGGCTTCGATCAGACAAATTGCAAACGCTTTTCGTTAGGACTTTGATTTAAGCGTAGATTCACATTTCGATTCTGATCGCGAATCTGTGTGGGCTGGCTTTGATCTTCTTCGATTGTTTAATTTCTTAATTAACACTCGAGATTCGTGGAATAAAAAACGTTTTGCTTCGCATTCTGAAGTAAATTCCCCGCAGGCATTGCGCATTTGAAATCAAAAGTGTTCTCTTTTATTCAACTAGGGGATATAATGGAGCCGCACTTCATTATGATGTTATCAAGTGCTGTGAACGCTCTACAAATTGAAGCATTAACTTTGATTTTTATTATTTTTTCATCACTTTTTTGTTTGGGTGTTTGCCGATCGATCGCGCACGTTTCAAACTTGATATTCTTTTGGTGATGCCTTCCTTTCGACGTTTTTATTTTTTTGTTTAATTGTCGAAACGTGAGTTAACAGTTTCAGTAATGAGCATTTGAAATATTTTGTCGGATGAGGAAATTCTTACAAATTGGTTCAGACATCACAAGTAGTTAAGTAAATAAATAAATGTTGTTCTACGAAAACGTGATGAGAGGTTAAGAAGCTTCCGCAACCTAAGAAATATTTACCAATTAATTTAATTAAATTAAATATAAGTAGCTGGGTCTGATTAAGGTCGCAAAATCTTGTTTTTCGGAATCGTTTCAACAATGTAAACAGAATAATTAAAATGGAATGCAACGAGACGCTTAAGGAGCTGGTTATGCAAATCAAGGAGTCTGCCTTATAATGTATATTTTAAGTAATGTATTTTTATCGTTATCACTTTATAGATGCCCCTGTAATCTTAACATTGCCTCACATGCTGGGCGCCTCGAATGAGTACCGAAAGATGATTCGGGGCCTAAAGCCTGATGCCAAAAAGCATCAGACTTTTGTGGATGTGCAGTCGGTAAGATATTCATGTCCATTCGATCTAGAGAAATCTTAACAATATAAATATTCCATTAGCTGACAGGCACGCCCCTGCAAGGCGGTAAAAGGGTTCAGTTCAACATGTTCCTAAAGAGCATTAATCGCATAGGCATCACCGAAAATTTACCCACAGTTTTGATGCCCGCCATTTGGGTGGAGGAGGTTAGTTATATCCAAACACAATTTAAGACTGATTTATTTATAACAAATATTTGTAAACCCTAAACTTTTCCCTAGGGCATTCAACTCAATGGCGAAATGGTGGCCTTTTTCAAAAAGAAATTGATTAACACGCTTAAAACCCTCAATATTGTCCACTGGGCGACCTTGTGCGGTGGCATTGGTGTGGCGGTTATGTGTCTGATATACTATATCTATCAAAAGGGGCGTGTCGAGGAGCCACCCGTGAAGTAAGATATTAATCATAAATCCGTATTTGTTATTGAGTGTTATGTAAAAGTGTATTTGTTATATTATTATGATAATTATGGATGTAACACACGCAGTTTTTGTCTACGAATTTGTATATAATTTATTTTTTTAATTGTGATTCTATTGTATTGTGATTTAGCGTTTACTAAAAAAAAAACAAGAAAAACTACTACGAATTAACCAAAATGTTGTTTTCATTTAAAGCTTGAAGAGCTTTATAGTGATTCTTGGAACTGGAATATTTGGAACATTTTAAGAAATTTGTTTTGGTGAATTTATTGATTTCTTGAATTCTACAAATTGGGGAATATATAAGATATTAATGGAAATATTTTTCGATTCAAGATGTTAATTTAGTCATTAAAAAACGAAAACATTGTAAAATCAACTGCACACGAAAAACAAATGTGTGTTGATTAATTCTTAGAAAGACAATATCTGGCATGACTTGTGGCTTAAATTAGGGAGTTCTCATGAATATCCCAATCCAAAAATGTCCGGTTTCCAATGAAAATAATTTGAAAAAATGTTTAAACATTCAATTAATTTTTCGGACTTCTAAATCAATGCTAACCACAAAATCACTATGCATAGCCAAAGCCTTGATCCATCCGCCTCCCTTCTTATTGGCAATGACTCAAGTTCAAAACCACATAATGAGGGAACCCGGGTATTAATCAATCAGCAACTGTTTTTCGGCCCAGCAATTTGCACAAAAAGCGGCAATTAAAACACAGTTTATATTGCATCAAATTGGCTATCAGAGAAACACCAAAAACTTAGGCAACGAACGCAAAAAAAATAAAACAAATTCCAAAAAGCGACTTGGTCAATCGGCAGATGCAAACAAAAATATTTCACTCGGCAGATAAACAAAGCTGACCCAAGGTGTTTTTGCATTACAATGTGATTGAGACACTATCTATGGGGTGGGGTCCGCATCGGATTGATTGACAGCCGCAAATCGCGCCTGTCGATTTCTTGATTGAGTCTTGCGAGGCGATTTAAAACGCGTGAAAAGCGCTCGCGACTCTCGAATTGTCTGTCCCATAAATACGGGTATTTCAAATTAATTCCATCAAGCAAATGAGCAGCTAATGGCCCAACGACTGCAGAACTTTCTAAATACATTTTTATGGTTGATTTGATAATTCTGTTGCCTTTTCGCGCTTCCAATATTTTTGGGTTCTTGAGTGGCCGAGAACCTTTTTTTTTCAGCTGTGACCGCCGTAGTAATTATGCAATAGCCACAACCAGTTTGTCTCGCTCGGCAGTCGACGTCGTCATATTCAAATTGACTTTGGGCTGAAGATGCGACCGCCGTGTTTCAGTCGTCAACGAAACGCGCAAACGCACGCAGGCAGTTGGGGAAATAAAATAAACTACAAAAAATATAAACGTAGAAAAAATCGAGACAAATCGCTGTAAAATTTGAATTTCAAATGACCCAAGGATCCTGCTCCAGTTCTGTGTGTTTTCTGTGTTCTATATAAGAGTGATAGCTGTGGGTTCGAGTGCCAGAGCAGATCAAGATGTGGAGTTGGTCGGTGGTGTTCGTACTGCTTCCGGTTTTGGCCACGGCCAAGATCTTCGATCGCTGTGAATTGGCCAATGTGCTGCAGCAGCGTTTTGGCCTTCCTGCCGCCCAAGTGGCCACTTTGGTGTGCATAGCCCAGCACTCGAGTGATTTTAATACGGCCGCCTTTGGCGGAGGTGCCGGATTGGGCGGTGGATCCCATGGTCTCTTCCAGATCAGCGACGTCTACTGGTGCTCGCCACCGGGCCAGGGCAAAGGCTGTGGCCTGAGCTGCTCCAGTTTGCGGGACGATGACATCGGCGACGATGTCCTGTGTGTGCGCAAGATATATGCCGAGCACCAGAGGATCAGTGGAGATGGCTTCACCGCCTGGCAGGCCTATGGCGCCTACTGCCGCCAGGATGCGGCCTCCTATGTGGCGGGATGTGGAGGTCCTGGCAGCTCAGTCCTTTCGGTGGCCGCTTCCTACCAGAAACCGCAACAAGTGCAGGTCCACAGCTACCCAGTGAATCACTACCATCAGGTGGCCCAGGTCCAGACGCAGGGCAAAATCTACAGTCGCTGCGAGTTGGCCCAGGAGTTGTTCTACCAACATAAGCTACCCATGCCCCAGATTCCCACCTGGGTTTGCATCGCCCAGCACGAATCCTCCTTTAACACTGCGGCAGTGGGTCGCCTGAATGCCGATGGCAGTGCCGATCACGGTTTGTTCCAGATCAGCGATCTCTTCTGGTGCACCCACGACCAGAGGGCGGGCAAGGGATGCCATGCCACCTGCAATCAGTTCCTGGACTCCAGCATTGCAGATGATGTGCAATGCATCAGGAGGATCCATCAGGAGCACACCCAAATTTCGGGAGATGGCTTCAATGCCTGGACCGTGTACAAAAGGAACTGCCTGAACCAGCACTACGAACAGGTGGCAGCCTGTTTCGCCAAGCCACCGGCTCACCAACATCCGAATGCCATCGGGGGAGGTCCTGCGAAGCAGAAGGTCAGCTATGCCTATCAGTTTGGCCAGGTGCAAGTGCAGCAGAACCCGGCGCCAATTACACCGGCCGTGAATCAATATTATCGACCTGCGCCGCCTGTGTTGAGCTACCAGACCAATGTGGCAGCCTATTCGGGCAATCCCTTTTTCCGACCACGTCCAGTCAATACCCAAGCCCAAACCCAAATTCCCCCCCGGCAGCATCCCAATGCCATTGGATTACCCTTTAAAAACCAATCCCCTGCCAACCCCTTCTACAGTCACAAACAGCCAGTACAGTATCAACCACACTATCAGTCACACTTCCAAACACACAATCAACGCACGGGTAAAGTTTACAATCGCTGCGAATTAGCCGAAGAGTTGTATTTCTCACACAAGTTTCCCATGCAGGAATTGGCCACCTGGGTGTGCATCGCCGAGCATGAATCCTCGTTCAATACGGCAGCGGTGGGGCGCCTGAACGCGGATGGGAGTGCGGACCACGGACTCTTCCAGATCAGCGATCTCTACTGGTGTACACACGATGAGGGAGGCGGCAAGGGCTGTCACATCGACTGCCATCGACTGCTGGACTCGGATATCTCCGATGATGTGAAGTGTGTCAGGACCATCTACGAGGAGCACACAAGGATTTCGGGGGACGGATTTACCGCGTGGACCGTCTACAATGGGCACTGCAGACAGAAAACTAGAGCTGATATCGCCAGTTGCTTCGAGGACAAAGATCTGCCTCGGGAAGTCATTAAACCAGCCAAGGGTAACGAACTGGTCAGGAAGGGAGCTCCACCTTCAAAGGGTAAAATCTACAATCGCTGTGAGCTGGCCAAGGAGCTTTATCATACACATAAATTACCCATGAGGGAGATCCCCACCTGGGTTTGCATAGCCCAGCATGAATCCTCTTTCAATACAGCAGCTGTGGGGAAACTCAATACAGATGGCAGTGAGGATCATGGCTTGTTCCAGATCAGTGATATTTACTGGTGCTCCCACGACCAGACAAGTGGCAAAGCCTGCCACATTGAGTGCGATCGCCTGCTGGATTCGGATATCTCCGATGATGTCCAGTGCATTCGCACAATCCATGAGGAACATACGCGACTGTCGGGAGACGGCTTCAACGCCTGGACCGTCTACAATGGACATTGCAGGAATCAGAACTTGGCCCAATTGAGTGACTGTTTCGATGGAAACGAGATCGCAGAGGCGGATAAGATCAGTCCTTATGGAGAAAAGCCCCAAGTGAAGCCCCATCAGTCTGTGTTGGGAAAACCACAGCAAAAGGTAGCCACCTTTCAAGAATATGGAGGTAATCCCTTCCTTCAAAATCTACAAGCAGCTAAGACCCCGCAAACTCATGTGCTGCCCACCAAACTTACAAATAAAATTACAAATAATAGTTTTAGTCCCAAGGAGCCACAAACTAATAAACTCTATGCCTCAAATCCATTTTTCAATAATCAACTGGTGAATAAACCTACTCCCACATTAGGAACTGCCACGTATTCTACCCAAAAACCGAACTACGATCGCAATCCCTTTTTGAAAGCCCCTGGTTCAATTAAACCCTCTGTAACAACTTCACATACTTTAGAAGAAGTCAAACCCCACCAAAGTTTACCCTATGCCCATAATCCATTTCTCAGCCTTCTTGGCAAACCAATTGTACCTGCTCGAGCACCCGTCAATCCCAAGCCGAAGCCCTCGAGCCCAAGTAAAAGCCCATCTAAGCCCCCTCAGCTGGTCAACAGACCCTATGTCAGCAGCGACAGCTTCCGCAATGAGGTGATTAAATTTACGGCCACCTCTGCGGCAGTGGAAACAACTACAAGCGTCACAAAGCAATCTGTAGCAACAACCACAAGGAAACCTTTAACAGCGGCCACAAAAAAACCAGTCCCAACTACGGCCAAAACTACGAGCTTGCCGTTATGGTCATGGCAAACTTCTACGTCCGCTAAGCCCACAATAACTGAAAGTGGTAATCGCTACACAGCTACAACGAAAGCCTCTGCACAACCAACAACTACTCGATCAGTGATAACCAATAAGCCAGCTACTATTTCAACTACTGGAAAAATTACTCGACCTACTCCTAGCTCACCTAAAGGAACCACTACTCGGAAAACTACTGCATTAACCATTCCAACAACAACACGTTCAAATACCTCCTTAATCACTTACCCAACAACTCGTCCATCAATTCGTACAACTTCAAGTCCAGCAACTTACTCAACTAAGCGCCCGATATCTACAACTCATCCAACATATCGATCAACTACTAGCCCAATATCTACGACACGTTCAACCACACGTTTAACTACTCAGCCAACTACTCGACCAACCATTCGTTTAACTACTCAGCCAACTAGTCGACCTACCGCTCGTTCAACTACTCAGCCAATTACTCGTCCAACCACAAAGCCAACTACTCCTTCAACTAGAAGTACAATTTCAATAGCCTATCAACAAAAGTCAACAACAACGAAACCTACATCTCGCCACACAACTGTAAGCAAGGCCACCAAACGGCCAACTACAACTACTCGTCCAGTTACAACCACTCGCTATATTGCAACAACTCACCAATCAGTAATAGCCAAGACCACAAATCGTTATGCAGCCTTATATTCACCAACCTCTCGACCAAATGTAATATCGAAATCTTCAACTCGTTATACAACCACAACGCCCCCAAAAACCAAGTCCCCATATCACTATATATCAGTAACTAAGCCCACCACTCGCCCGAATCCAACCATTCGTTCAACCACAGCCATTCGTTACTCACCAACAACTCACCAACCTCTAACAACGAGAAACACCACTCGTTACTCAGCGATATCTACACCAACTACTCGTCAAGGAAGCACCACACCAAGGCCATATTTATTAACATCAACAACGAAAAAGAGTGCTACATCTAAAGATCCCTTTGATCATCCGTTTTTCCAGAAATTCAAGGCAAAGTTTGAGAAAACCCCCTCTCAGGCACAAAATCCAAAAACCACCGCAACAATAATCCGAAATCAAAATCAAACCACCAGCAGTCCTTATTATGCAAAATATCAGGAAAATAAGATGAAAACAGGAGCCAAAACCGTTCTTTCATACGATTTCGGACATAATAGAACGACTAGGCCAAAAAGTGCTTTCGATGTCTACCTTAATTGGAACAAAAGTTAAGAGGGTTTCCATTAGTGTGTCACTTTCGAGACTTGTAAATATGCTTTATTGACCACTAGTTTAACATAATGGCAGAATACTCATACATTATTGATTCGTAAGCCTTATAAATAGGATTTAGATAATAAAATAAAAATAAAACGATGCGAATGCGAAATGTACGAAAATTAATTCAATTTCAGAGACTGGTTGGCGGGTCAATCTGACAACGCGCCAAACGTCGCCAAGTGCGATTGGATCGTGGCTTTAAACAGGGGCTTTGATTAATTTTCGTTAACCCGTTTTTGGCCGAGTCTTGTTAACATAAATGCCGAGCAAAGCGACAAAGACAAAGCGGGCCAAAGAACTGCAAAGAGAACGTGTTTCGAATTTCCATTGGGTTCACTAATAATGTTCTTTAATTTTAGCAACTTATCAATTTGGTAAATTAATTCTAATTGTGTTCCCGATTTATTGTCCGTACTTTTCTTTGCTAGAACCGTTACCATAAGGCAAGTGAAAAATAGGTAGAAAAACATTTTTGATGGCCTCCTTTGGTGGAGGTGTTATCATTGTTTTTAATTAAGATTGAATATTTTAATATTTAATTAAAATTAAAAACTTATTTCAATATGAAAAACATTTACCCAGTCGATTCAGTTATGTAAACTCCAATCGCGAAACAAAATTGCAGCTGTTTCTTAATTGTTAACCATTTTTATTATATATTAACAACTTTCAATATATAACAATTCTTTTGTTTCTAGCAGCGTGTAAGCATATAATTTTCGGGGCTGTTACAAAAATCACTTCCATCCAAATTCCGACTCCTTTATAAAATAAAATATTAACAATTATCTGTGACATTTTTTAACAAAATATCAGCTTGCATAAAAGGCATGCCATAATCTTTTAACAACATAATATTTTAAGATTTTGCATTTTATTCATTTCAAATTGGCTTTAAAAGATTTTTTTTTTGCATAAAATTCCAATACGGCCTCTGTTAACACGCTAAGGGTTAATGTTAGAGCGACCGCTTAGTTTACAAAACGTAATTGTCTTACTGTTATCTCACATGGTTTAAGTTCACGATAAACCAATGTTTCAAACCATCACTGAAAAGTTTGGATGGCACAAGAAGCCTAGCTTTTCGTCACTCATTTTTTTATACATGAGGTTCCTAAAAGGCTGCTTCTCCGTAGCTCGATTATGACCATAAATCTTTAGCTACACACTGGACTGATAACCAATATTTTTAATCAAAACAGGCCAAAAAATAAATTTTAAAAAATTTAGGAGCAAGTTCAATTTAAATCAATATACATTTTAATTCAATATATTATATTCCCAATCAGCAGAATACTTCGGTTACTACCCAGTCGGACCTGAGCTCTCTCTATTAGAAATCTATGCGAAATCAGTCAAAATCAGGGATGCATCTCCAAATGTAGTTTTCACTATTTTTTAAGCCCTAGTTTTTATTATAATAATGATTATAATTAATAATTATAATTATGATTTAATTTGTTATCTATTCGAACAATCGGGAAATCAAATAAAATAAAAATTAAAAAATCGTTGATTTTTAATATTTAAGTTTATACTAAGAGAGAGGTAATTTTAAAAATTTTAGAATTACGGTTTATATTTAAACAAAATTGGATATAGCACGGACTCAGCTCGAGAATATTGTTATACTATAGTTAAATATGAATTTCAAGACTAATTTCAAAATGAGTTCCATTCAGAAATATATACAAACAAGAAAGGAAAGCTAACTTCGGGCGGAGCCGAAGTTGATATACCCTGTAAATGATATTCTGCAAAATCGGATCGGTTATTCATATGATGCATTCTTAATACTCATAAAAAATCCCAACTTCCTACCTTTAAAAACACCAAAGTTATGGAATTTCCAATCGTTCAGTTATATGGCAGCTATAAGATATAGTCGGCCGATCCTTATGAAATTTGGTAGGTCGTATTGATTGGCCAAAAATAAAACCCATAGAAAATCCCAACTTCCTAACTTTAAAGACATAGACATGATATAGTAGCCCGATCCGGCTCGTTCCGACTTATATACTACCTGCAATAGAAAGACAACTTTTGGGAAAGTTTCAAGCAGATAGCTTTAAAACTGAGGGACTAGTTTGCGTAGAAACAGACGGACTGACGGACAGACGGACGGACAGACGGACGGACGGACAGACGGACGGACGGACAGACGGACGGACAGACGACAGAAGACGGACGGACAGACAGACGACGGACATGGCTACAGACACGGACTCTCCTGGCTAGATCGACTCTCCTGGTGATGCTGATCAAGAATATATATACTTTATAGGGTCGGAAATATCTCCTTCACTGCGTTGCAAACTTTTGACTGAAATTATAATACCCTCTGCAAGGGTATAAATATAATCACAAAAGAGCAGTGTTGAGTTCATATAAAAGAAAAAGTTCTTTTATTTTCATTGCCAGCGGATCACGTTGCTGCTGACTCCTGGTCTGAATTTGGTCTCAAGGGAATATGTATACATACATACATATGTCAATAAAGTGTTTTGGCAATGGAAAAAAATGGCATATTTCAAGTATGAAAACGGAATGTAATTGGTTTTTATTTATTTTTAAGAAAGTTAACTGAAGAAATTGGTTATTTTTTGTTCATAAATCATCTCTAAGATACCAACATAATCATAATAAAATTTAAAATAAATGAAAGAACGCTGCAAACTTACTTTTTATGGCATAAAAACTTGAAATATGGTATTTAATACCCTTGCAGAGGGTATTATAATTTTGGTTTAAAGTGTGCAACGCAGTGAAGGAGACATGTCTGACCCTATAAAGTATATATATTTTTGATCAGGATCACCTCCTGAGTTGATATAAGCATGTCCGTCTGTCCGGCTGTCTGTTTCTACGGAAACTAGTCTCTCAGTTTAAAAGATATCGAATTGAAACTTTGCACAAACCCTTCTTTCCTTTGCACGCAGTACATAAGTCGGAACGGCCGGGATCGGCCGACTATATCTATATGAACCAATTGATCGGAAATGCCATAACTTTGGTGCTTGTAAAGTTAGGAAGTTGTGATTTTTTATGAGTATTTAGAATGCATCATATAAATAGTTTTGGAGAATATAATTTACAGAATATTCTGCAAGGGTATATCAACTTCGGCTCCGCTCGAAGTTAGCTTTTCTTTCTTGTTTACATTGTCAAAACACTTTATAAAGATACTGTATGTCAACTCCCCTCGATATGAGCTCTGTACTGCGCATTAATTTTTTTGTTTATTGTTTTAACGGTTAGCATGGGAATTCTATTCCGCCCCAAAAAAGCCGAATGGACGTTCAAAAAAGTTTATGTACATACATAGTTCCTGTATATAACTTATATGGAAAGGTCCGACTGTGTGTATGTATTCCTAACTAACATGTTATTCAACTTGTATGTATTCCTTTGTTAATTGAATTAAAGACCAAACACGGAAACCATGACAAAAGTACTTTGTTTAAACTTGTATAATTAAATAAAACAATGCCAATTCGGTGGTAAAGATGATATCATATCCGCTTACTTATCTTATCCAAGCAAATTTAAAATTGGCGGGCAAAACACAAAAACTTTTTTTACCTGTCGTATTACTAAATTTTTGTAAAAATCCTATGTAAAATAAAGGCTGAAAACGAAGTTTTTTTTATAATAGTTTTTACCAGTAAAAATAATTTAGTCAAAAGTTTTCACAATTACCGAGGTCGCAAATAACGGCAAATTTCTAAGATTAGAAATAACTTTTTTCCAGATCGTTGCCAGTGCAGATCTCGTTTGATAATTAAGTGTTTGTATTTTCAAGGTCAGGCTTTGAAGTTAAAGCCCGTGGCCTGCATAAATGTGAATTCTTCAAATTGCCTTATTGACATCCTTTCGGAACACCAAAGTCCCAGATAAAACACTAAAACATGAGTACTCACAGTATTGCTATTATCCGTTGAATTTAGTTCACTTAGGAATATAAATAATTAATTAAATAATTTAAATCACTAGGAGAAATAGAGCTGCAGCAACATCGATGGAAACATCGATGTTTTTTTTCAATTTTCCAAAACATCGATTTAAAATTTGGACTATCGATGTTTCTGGGGCCATCACTGTTCAAAAAAAAGGAAAACGGAACGCTCGCTAATTGTTTGTAATTTGTTATTTTCCCTTGTATGTTAAGAATGCCTTCCGAATGATTGAAATAACTTACTCCAAAGGCTCCTGCGCCTTTCTCTGCGGATGAAATCAATGTATTGGAAGAACTTTGTTCATTGATTTAAGAAAAAAAAAGTTAATATCGGGTGGATTACCCAACTTCAGTTTGTCAAGTAATTGTTTGCAAAATGTAAAATTTCGTAGAAACTAAACTTTATGTGGAAGATTTAGCAATAAAAATTGAACTTTTTACATTTTTTATTTTTTAATGTTGTATATTAAGGCATTGGCTACTAAAATAGATTTAAAAAATTGCATATTTCAACATAAAACATGTTGAAAAAAATTATGCTGTCAATTATTTCTTTGCAAAATGCAAGCACAAGGCACAGAGACGCATAAAAAATCAAAAGTTAAGTAAATTCGCTGAAAAAAATATGTAGTGTGTTTGGATTGCTGCTCCCTTTTATTTATTCAGATTTTTTTTTATTGCTGTTTTTTGTCATTAAAACAAAAGACCTTCTTTTCGGCGGCGCATGTGATTTCGGCTCCCTGGAACATCTGAAACCAAAAATTCGAACGGGATTAGGAAAAGAGCATGTTTGGCTCTGGCATGAACTAGGATTATTAATTTCGCACAAAAATGAACATAAGGGCGGACCTTTGAAATTTTTTAAATCGCCTTATTTCAGCCACAATTCAAGGTGAAAACTAAAAAAGATCTTCACCGATTTCATTTATCCTAGTTCATGCCATAGATATACATATATGTATAGAATAAGGCCTAGTACTCAGATTAGTCCTGGAAATAACATCGGCGATGTAGATCATCGATTTTTCAAAACTGTTTTAAACATCGAGGTTTTCAAACATCGATGTTCGAAAAAACACTATAACCGTCACGGCAGCAAATCTTGGTAACTTTAAACACCTTTTTGATATAATTATCAATAATTAAGAAACTAAAATATACTGTTAAATTTAGTTAGAATTGATGTATTGTTTCATTTATGTTTCCTTAAAAACATCGAAACATCGATGGAAACATCAATGATTTTCCAGCTCAAAGTAGTACTCTGATAAAAAACTATATTTTAAAGGCGAGAGGCAAACATGGCGTTCACTTCGTCAAATGTTTTCCCTCGAGCATTTGAATTTGAACTAGGCTTGTCAACAAACTTTTTTAGGCAGAATGCAGAAAAAATAAAAGGATAACTTTAAATTAGCAAAGAATTATCAGTAAATTAAATAAAGCAACTGTTAAATTTAAATTGTATTGTTTTTGATTTCTTTGTACAACGGCAAACTTGTCTTGCCAACTGACTTGATAATATATTTTAAAGGCTCTTTCCCGCAAATACGACATTTGAATTTCGAAATGAACTTCTCAACAAATTTAGGTGATCTGACGACTTTTGGTAAGATTAAAAGATTTTTTACGCTAGCGTACTCGTTTGTCGATCTGAGTACTAGGCTTTAGAACAAAAATTTACGAAAAAACATAATAAAAGTGCAGCTATGAACTTTAAATTAGCAAATAATAATCAGTAAATTAAAAAAACAAAAAAGCTCTCACCGTCGCCTGACCTTTCACCATAAGTCTGCTATATCTTCCAAAGTTTTTGAAAATTTCAAATTCACATTCTTGAATAGTTCTAGGTTCAAATTAAATTAAAAAAATCGATTTCTTGAAACGGGGAATGGGGGCGGTCCCTTAAACTGCATTTGTCATTTTTGGAAACATCAGTGTTCTTAAAATAATCGAAAACATCCATAGACGCACATATCGATATTTCTTCACCCCTAACAAGAACTGAAGTGAGATTATCGATAACAGATACAGATGGATAAACATTGGTTGTACCTGGCCAAACATCGATATCACCGATATTATGAAAACATCGATTAACCCGATGTTGGCATCGATGTTTTCCCACCTCTTACCTATATCGCTCCGCCATTTTACGCTGACAATTTTTTCGCAAGATTGGAGAAAATAGTTCGTTCGCGAGTAGAATGTAAATAGCTTTGGATTTCACCCACGGACGATAGCGTGCAAAGGTTATTACCTTACTAATTGTTGAGAGGGAGTGATTTCCCGGGAAAAGCCAGGAGCAGCACGCCGGTTTTGCTCCGGCTTGCTCTGAAAACTGTACGAAGCGCGAGTGCGACAAAGACGGAACGAGTACCGAGTGTGTTTGTGTGCGTGCGAAAGTTGGAAAAGCGGCGAAATATCTGTTAATACGTCTTGAGAGCACTTTTTCCGGCTGAACATGGCCGACGTGGTCTTGGATCTGTACGCGGAGGACCTGGACAAGGACTTTGCCGGGCAGGCTCAGGTAAGCATACGAGAAAAGGAGTCTCTTTGTGGTCGCGCGTGTGTATGTATACACTAGGGTGGATCGATGTGCCGAAAAGTGGTTAGGGGGTGGAATGCCGTGTCTTGAGAGGATTCAAACCAATGGTTTCCCAAAAACTAGAGTTCCTAAGTCTTGGTTAGAGCGACTAAAGGACATGGTGTCTTAGAAACTAGAGTTCTTAAATCTTGTTTATAACATTAACTAATCTCTCAAACACATGGTAGACTTTTTAATTGTTATAACATAACTTAGCTTGAGAGATAGCATAAAAACAAATGCATTTAATTTTTATTTACACTAATCTTGGCTGGAGTTCTTGGTGGGTTCCAGAAATCTGTTGACATACAGTTGAAAGACGTTATGTAGCGTTATACTTATTATAACCCTCTTTTTTCCCTTTTTGGTGACTGACGACATATGGCTTAAAACCCCAATTTATTTTGCAATGTAAAGCGTTTTTTATTAGACCAATCGATCCACCCTACCTTATACGATTACGCTACGGTCACATAAACAAAAACTCAAATTTCTTAAAAGAATTTAACGAACGGTTTATCTATATATTAAACCAAGATTTATGCGAGTTTCTTAGTTTTTCTTGAAACAAATCAATCAGCTTTTCTAGAAACCCAAACACTAACTTTCTTTTTCCGGACAGGACGAATTTGGTGGCGATGGCGTGGACTTGTACGATGACATAGGCGGTCCCACTGAGGCGGCCGCTTCCGGTGGCGGGGGCGGCGGCACGCCCTCCGCTGATGGAGCCGCCGGACCGGGCTCCGGGGATTCTGGCGAACGTATTTCAGGCGGTCCTAATGGAGTTTACCATCAGAGCGGTGGTAGTCTTACTCCGACCATGAACCGCCGTTACCAGCTGTATGTGGGCAATCTCACCTGGTGGACCACTGACCAGGACATCGCCAATTCGCTGCGAGACATCGGTGTGAATGATCTGCAGGAGGTGAAGTTTTTCGAGAACCGGGCCAATGGTCAGTCGAAGGGCTTCAGCGTCATCTCGCTCGGTTCGGAGTCCAGTCTGCGTGCCGTGCTCGACCAGCTGCCAAAGAAGGAGATGCATGGCCAGGCGCCGGTGGTAACGTACCCCAGCAAGCAGGCGCTCACCCAGTTCGAGAGTCTGCAGAAGACGCGACCGGTGCCGCCGCCGCAGCAGAATGGACCGCCGAGGGGTCCGGCACCGCCAAGTATGGGCGGCGGACCAATGCCCTCCGGACATCCGGGTGGACCGCAGGGAGGCGGACCACCTGGCCACCCGCCTCGGGGGATGAACACCATCATGCAGTCGGGTCCGTACCGGCCTCAACACATGTCGCAGGTGCCCCAGGTGGGCGGACCCAACTCCGGACCTCCACGCATGCAGGTGTGTTCCCATTTCGCTAGCCCCCGCATTCCCCTATTAGGTCTCATTTTTCGTAGAAATACCGCTCGGGTCTAATTTGTTTGGTTTCTACATTCCTACACATTTTATTATTTTCCGATTTTCATCAAAATTGTTCTGAATGCAAAATTTTCTTATTTAAGTAACATTAGAAAACCTAAATATACGACTTCATTTGTAGTTTATAAACGAATATATGCCTTATTTCTGTTGATCGATATGAATATCCAAACGTTTCTCATATTTCTTTTGTAAATTTATAAACTAAACTCAAGCCATCCTACAAATTAAGAAACAAAATATACGACATGATATGTGGTTTATAAACGGATAAGTACCAATTCTGTTGATTGATCTGAAATATACCCATTGCTTTTGTTAATTTATAAACTCAAGCTGTCGTACATACTAAGTTTGTTGTTGTTTATGATTTTAAGTACTATACATAATAAATTATTTCGGTTTACTTACTAGTAATTTCAGAGCAATTTTTGTAGCACATCTCAGCTTAAGACATTTTGTATTCTCTTAATTTTTTTAAACTTAGTTATAGACCCAAAATCAAGAAAAAATGTAATAAATTGAAATGGAGAGCCAGAAAGGCATTAAGTGTCTCCCTGGCTTTCCTTAATAAGCTATACCTTTTGATTTAATTCTCTTTATGTATATTCTTACGAGTATTTGTAATTGTAAAACTCCCCGCTATTGTTATCTAAAATGTTTATGTATTACGATTTATGTTCTATTCCATGTCTTTGACAACGCTTACGCACACTTCTACCCCACAACAACAACTACTACTCCAACATAAAACGTAATACGTATAAATATAGCCGCCGATGCATCCGCAAGGCGGGCTTATGGGCAACCAACAGCCGCCACCCCGGTATCCGTCAGCGCAGGGCCAATGGCCAGGTCAGCGGCCAGGCGGACCACGACCAGGTCCACCGAACGGACCGCCGCAACGACCAATGGTAACAATCCCCAAAGCACTGAGTCCTCCTATAATCTATGCCATACTATCTACTCTAACGAAGCAAGAAAGAGAGAGAGAAACGAAGACTAACAGAACATAAGTTAACCATAGTTAACTTAGTCTTAAGCGATGTATTCAGAACATTTAAAGTAATTTCACAGATCAGCCCATGCAACATCCACTCATATTTTCGCCTGAATATTTATTTGATCTTCCGGAACAGTAACTAATCCCCATATATTTTACCTTGCAGTTCCAAGGAGGACCCATGGGCATGCCCGTCAGGGGTCCGCCGGGTCCCGACTGGCGTCGTCCGCCCATGCACGGCGGCTTCCCGCCGCAGGGTCCACCACGCGGCCTTCCCCCAGCGCAAGGTCCAGGCGGACCGCATGGCGCCCCCGCTCCCCACGTGAATCCGGCGTTCTTCAACCAGCCCGGCGGCCCTGCCCAGCATCCGGGCATGGGTGGTCCGCCCCACGGAGCCCCCGGACCGCAGCCAGGCATGAATATGCCACCGCAACAGGGCATGAACATGCCACCGCAGCACGGACCGCCGCCTCAGTTTGCTCAGCACGGACCGCGCGGTCCTTGGCCGCCACCGCAGGGTAAGCCACCGGGTCCCTTTCCCGATCCTCAGCAGATGGGTCCGCAACTGACGGAGGTGGAGTTTGAGGAGGTGATGAGCAGAAATCGCACAGTCAGCAGTTCAGCTATCGCCAGGTGAGTGCTAAGTCTTCCAATTTTTGACATACTCAATTTAACTTAAATGAAACAATCAGGCTCGCCTTTTTCATCTATTGTTTTTGAATGTTTTACCCGATATTCCCATTATCGTTAACAGAAATTGTCAATAAATTGACTTATTAATATGTACACATATTTTGTTAAATTGTTATATAATGCTTAAAAACCGGTTTCCTAACTAAAATCAAAACGAAAAAAAAGGTAAAACCAAAATAAGGCCTGCATATAAGGTCTGATAAACCCATGCCCAGCTGAATGAATTTTCCAAATATAACCGCAGTAGCTATTAACAATTAAAATTCATGCGCATAGAAAAGTAGGTAAAGAAATTCATTCACACAATCTGTTTGAATTGTGGATTTTTTTAATGCTTTCGAGCCCCGTTGGTATGCTAATTTATTCATTCCGATTATTTGATTTCAGAGCTGTATCTGACGCGGCCGCTGGAGAATATTCGAGCGCTATTGAAACGCTGGTCACAGCCATTTCGTTGATCAAACAGTCCAAGGTGGCGCACGATGAGCGATGCAAGATCCTGATTAGCTCGTTGCAGGACACGCTGCACGGCATCGAGGCCAAGAGCTACAATAGGCGCGAGAGGTCGCGGTCCAGGGAGCGATCCCATCGAAGTCGCCAGCGGCGGGAGCGTTCCACATCCAGGTATCGCGAGCGTTCTCGGGAGCGGGAGCGTGATCGGGATCGCGAGCGTGAGCGGGATGGCGGGTAAGCTCAATATTAACACGTCTTTTAATGCTCACCTTAAAATATATAAAACTTGTATTGCTTTGCAGCAGCTATCGGGAGCGGTCACGCAGCAGAGAAAGGGAACGTCAGGCTCCAGATCACTACAGGGATGACAGGTAAAACAGATTCGACTGCATAAAATTCGCCTCGTTGTCTCATTTGAAATTTGCAGATAAATTATTCATTATCCTACATTTGATAACTTTGCTCTCATAATCATTTCAATCAATAAAATTTGATTTTAAAACCGATTTTCTGATATATTTGTACTCTTGCAGTAAATCTCAGAAAAAATTTAAATTTGTAAATTTGTCGAGTCGATAGACGTTTATTTTAAACTTAATTGTCCATATAATACTTGTCCTTTATTATAAAAAGACTATATTACTTGATTCGTTTTTTGCCTTTAATTTAGATAATTACAAAAATGTTAAGCAATCATTAAGTAGCTTTTCAGTTCTTTGCAAAGAACTCTAAATATATTAAATTTAAAAACCTTCCTCTGAAATGTGTTAACTAAATAAGCTGAAAATTATAAATGAAAAAACTTAATACGAAGGCAGCTAGGCGAATAATTTTCTAATTCAAGTGTAAACTAGAAGTTAATTTGCATCCCATTCTTCGACAACAGCCGATCGGTTCGTCCGCGAAAGTCACCGGAGCCGGTGGTCGCCGAGGCTGCAGAGGCGCCATCATCGAAGCGATACTATGAGGACCGCGAACGATACCGCTCCTCGGACAGGGAGCGGCGCGACCGGGATCGGGACCGTGACCGCGAGAGGGAGCGCGATCGCGACAGGCGAGAGGAGCACCGTTCCCGGCATTGACTGCCGTAAATGAAGTAGTTCGAGCAGCGCCAGTGGATCGTAATCAAGAGTAAAGATGAAACACAGATAAAAGATAACTAAACACACTCTATAAACAAACCATAAGCCGCAGCTTGGTGGGATGACAAGCTAGCCACAATTAACAGATTTTCGATTTGTATCTAACATTACCAATACGTAGGATATGAATATGGCATACAGCATAGTTCTCCTAGACATACTAAAATAAGCCGAAATGCTGACAAGATTTTACCAACGACGGACGGGGACTGTCTCTGGATCTCTCCGACTTCTCATCCCAGCATCCTGCTAGCAGCAATACCGACAGCGAAGTTAGCAGTACGTGGATCAGTGGAGAAGGCAACGAGACAGTCAGCATGGGACATTTTAGACACTGATGGGCGCTGGATCATCAAACAACAAACAACTAGCAATCCTGCAACTCCGTCGCAGCAGAATTTCAATATTATTGTACTCTAAAATTTCGGTTTATTTAATAAAACATAAACGTATGAAAAAAGAATTGTTCCAGAAAAAAAAACATCTATAAAAAACTGTGTTGAATTGTGTGTCTTTTTGTACTCTTATTATAAAAACCAAACCTAATCTTATTAGTTAAAGAATTTATAATTGTACAACAAAATTGTATGTAAAAATGCCAAAATTATTGCACTTGTGCGTGCAATTAAAATTGAAATTGTTATATTAACAAAATCATTCCGCCGACTGAGGCTGAAAATCGTTAGCCCTAATGTATTTTCAAAGATTTCACGATTCTTTTGTTGTAAACATTCCCCATGCATTTGTTTAAACTTGTTTTTATTTATCATATAAATTTAAGTAGTATATACTTGTGTGCCTGTGATTATGTGTGAGTGGAATTATAGCATTTAAATGCCGACTGATCCCATCCACAAAAACGGATGTGGAAACCATAGTGAAATATGTTTGTATAGATTAAGTTGAGTGTGTGATTTCTTTGGCCGGATATCATAATTATTAGACAAAATTATTCTATAAACACGTCCTAACCGCATTTAGCGTAGCTTACTTTACTAACGCTCGAATTTGATGTAGTTCCTAACATAGATTCAAAGATATGAACAAAGCTATCCAGTTCCTCCCGTGATACTGTAATACTCGCGGCTCATTTTACACAACTTAGCTCTCAAATTGTATCATCTACATTTTACTTTTTTAAATTTTAGCTTTACTTTTTATTTGTACATACATTTTGTAAACGATACTCGACTAAGATCATGTCGCACTAATCCCGAATTACAATTGCACCTCTGTAAACGCAAGTCTACGATTTTAAAGTACCTGTAACTCTCCGAAGAGCGAGAGCCTAAGGTGTTATGAGTATTATGAGCTTACAATTTTTAAATGTGATTGTGATATTGATGAAACAAACTACATATGAAATTACATATAGAAACGAATACTGTCTGTTAAGTCATGCCAAATCAGGTAAAGTTGTCCTATTCCAATGGGACCCAATATAAAGTTTGTAAACCTTCTGGAGATCCCTTGTTTTTCAAACAAATAATCGGATCTAAAGTCAAATCCTTGCCATAGTTTATGATTTAAAAAATACCTATAACTTTTGACTATGTTTTTAGAAAATACTTCAATTGATTTGTTTGGATTAAGCGCGAAATAAAATTCTATATTGTTAGACGTTTCGAACTTCGTTACTTTTCAAATGGAAAGTAGGTTGCGCGCAGCTAACACGTCATTGATATAATCATCTGGAAGGTTCCGAAGATGTAACCGTTACCCAGCACTAACGCAGGTGGAAGAAGCCAAAACAATTTCTTATCACCAGTGTTAACGGAACATTGACTTTTCTAGCTAAATGTACTTTCATCATATTTCTAATGGTAATAACGAAAAATATGTGTTTTTATATTCAAATATATTTAAACCGTTTAGAAATATTGAATGCTTTTACTTTTTTCGAAAGTTCTAGTTGCTTAAAAAAATTATTCAAAAGTATCGCTGAATAATCCAAAATAAGATTTGAATAAAATTAAGAAACAATATCGAGGAAGATCCAATTTAAAAAGTAAAAGCTAGGCATAGCGGTAAAGAGCTAAATTATCATCAATTGTTGCAGGAATTGCAGAGTTACCCAACACTAAAACCTGATAAAGGCGAAGAAAATTTTGTGAAATACAGAAAGTAAAACGAGAAACAAGAGACGAGGTAAAGTAGGCACCACAAAACAAACAGTCAATTTCAATATTTCGACCTCAACAGTTCACATTCACTCCTCCGTTTGATCGAGAAACTGAGCTACAACCGGAAAATTGGAACAGCAAGTGCCAGAAAAGAAAGACCATAATGGCAGACACTGCAAATCTCATTCATGAACGTTTCCAGACGTTCATGAACGGCCTCGGCGACCGTTAGTAAGTATTACATGCTGATGGGTCATCGCAGTCCCCAAAGTCTGGGGTCCAACTGCGTCACACTGACGTGTTGTTTTGGTATCCAACCACATCAACAGTTGGTCGTACACCGAATCGATAGACCTTGAACCTAATGGTATACTTACCTCCTCCTCCTCTTCCCCCAGTGAGCCTTACGTGCGCGAGCACCTGTCCAAGGTTTACATGGTCTTGGGTAGCACTGCCGCCGCCACGGCAATGGGAGCCCTGCTCCAGATGCGCGACTTCCTCGATCTTGGAGTCCTGGCGGCGGTGGCCACACTGATCCTGGTCTTGGGCCTGCACTTCTACAAAGATGACGGCAAGAACTACTACACACGATTAAGCATGCTATATGCATTCGGATTCTGCTCTGGCCAGACCCTCGGACCGCTCCTCGGCTATATATGCAGTATTAATCCGGCTATTATACTCTCGGCCCTTACCGGCACGTTTGTCACCTTCATCTCGCTTTCCTTGGCGGCTTTACTGGCCGAGCAGGGCAAGTACCTCTATCTGGGCGGGATGCTGGTCAGCGTCATCAACACCATGGCTCTTCTGAGTCTCTTCAACATGGTCTTTAAGTCCTACTTCGTGCAAGTGGTGAGTGGAAATTTCTTTATGCTGTAACTCTTCTTAAAGGCTGTTTAAGCTGCGAAAATAGGTTCCAATTTCTAGCTCCTATCATATTTATAAATAGTTATATCTTTATCTTAAAGAAAAAGTTAAGATAAGAAAGTTTGTGCTATAATTCTAAATATGCGGATTAGGGAAGGTGAGGCAAAACCCTAACAATGATAAATGCCATACATTTTCCGTAGAAATAATATACATACATACATATTATTATTAACTGCATTAATGGGTCTATCAGGTAGAGCTTATTATATTTATAGTTTTATATAGTGGGTATGTTTGTGGTTTGCATTGGTCTGTGAAATGCGACAATCCATTTCGTCCTATATCTTTCAACGCAGCTGACTGTAATCTTTAATTTAATATCTTTCCTTTTTATAGACTCAACTCTACGTGGGAGTTTTCGTGATGGCTGCCTTCATCGTCTACGACACCCAGAACATTGTTGAGAAGTGCCGGAACGGAAACCGAGATGTGGTGCAGCATGCTCTGGATCTGTTCTTCGATGTGCTGAGCATGTTCCGCCGTTTGCTGATTATCCTGACACAGAAGGTAGGTTATCCTGGGCTGGGGCTTATTTCACCGATCAGTTGCTATATAGCCACCTCACTCAGCTCAAGACCTTCATGGTTTAAAGCGATTCATGCTGAAGCGAATCGTCCGAACTATCTCGATCAGATAATCCAAAAACAGTCGGTAATCACTTTGCAAAAGTTTTCCAAACTAAAATTCGCTGTGAAAATCTATTTCAAACGGTATTTCGTGCAGCCGAGGCAATAAGTATACTTTCACAAAGTCAGGCTAGGATCTCTAGGTCTTTTTTAAGCACTTGTGGGAAGTATATTTATTTCCGGGAACTGCGAATAAAACTTTTTGCAAAGTTTTCTAGCTGTTTGTGAAACTATATTTATGACCTTTGCTTTGGAAACAATGGTAAATCAATAGTAATACCTTCAATTTCTTGCAGGAGGAGCGTAAACAGAATGAACGTCGCAAGAGAAACTAAGTCAAGCTTTAAGCAATACCAACTACCAAAACAAAAACATCTGACAAGGCAAAGGGCGGTTGGCAGTTTTCTCTTTCTAAAAATTTATTCGCATACAAAATAAAGGCCGTGTACATTTGGCTTTAAATTTACATACAACTGTTCAATATAAAACCCATGAAATTCCCTATTTAATAAATACCACAAAAAGTCAGCTCATCCGCATTATAGCCATAAATGAAGTTGACAAAACATGGCGCACTAGATTGACCATGTTGATAATATCGATTGGGGGTTGTAGGGCCATTTAATTAGGGTAAGTGCAAGCTGCAAGTAATAGCTTAATGTAGTCCGAAGTTGGTCATTCGAAGTTTTAATTTCCAACGGACAGGATGGCGCAAACGGAGGATACGGATACAGTGCAACCCCTATTGCAGCAGTTCCAGCAGCTATTCTTTATATCAAAGATAGCCGGGATTTTGCCGCAAGATCTGGAGAAGTTTCGCTCAAGGAATCTCATGGAGAAATCTCGCAATGGCATGCTCTACATGCTTGGCACACTTATCCTCTACGTGTTGCTTTATAATATTCTAATCTACTCCTTTGGGGAGGAGGACCGCACGCTCAAGGCCTCGCAGAGTCAGTGAAGCACAAACCGTGGAAGGGGTAAACTCATTTACCTTTTTATTTTTCCTTTTCAGGCACCTTGACTTTCGTGATTGGCTTGTTCCTAACCTATATTGGTCTCATCATGATGGCCACCGACCAGCTGACCGCATTACGAAACCAGGGCAGGATTGGTGAGATTTACGAACGGATCCGCCTGGTGGACGAGCGTCTCTACAAGGAGAAGTGTGTGATGGACAACAGTACTATTGGTCGGCGCATCCGGATCATGCTCGTTATGACGGTCATCTTTGAGTTGTCAATTTTGCTGGCCACCTACCTCAAGCTAGTGGACTACTCCCAGTGGATGTCTTTGCTGTGGGTCGTGTCGGCTATTCCCACTTTCATCAACACGCTGGACAAGATCTGGTTTGCTGTTTCGCTTTATGCTTTGAAAGAGCGTTTTGAGGCCATCAACGCCACGCTGGAGGAATTGGTGGCTACCCACGAGAAGTATAAGCTGTGGCTCCAAGGCGACCAGGAGACGCCACCTCAGCTGGACAGTTCCCAGCCGCCTCAGTATGACAGCAATCTGGAGTATCTGTACAAGGAACTTGGAGGCTTGGACATGGGTTCAATTGGAAGAAATTCGGTGTCTGGCTCGGGAAAAAATAAGGTGGCCCCAGTGGCCCACTCAATGAACTCTTTCGGGGAACAGATCGATGCGGCTACCGGAAAACCTCCACCGAACCCCCTAGCCTCCAACATGGTCCACGAAAGCGAGCTGGGAAACGCCGCTAAAGTAGAGGACAAGCTGAACAATCTGTGTCAGGTGCATGACGAGATTTGCGAAATTGGCAAGGCCATGAACGAGCTGTGGAGCTATCCCATTCTGTCCTTGATGGCGTATGGATTTCTTATTTTTACGGCTCAATTGTATTTCCTTTACTGTGCCACACAGTTCCAGTCGATTCCGTCTCTATTCCGCTCCGCCAAGAATCCTTTTATCACGGTCATCGTCCTGAGTTACACGTCCGGAAAGTGTGTGTACCTTATCTATCTGAGCTGGAAGACCTCGCAGGCCTCCAAGCGCACTGGAATCAGTCTGCACAAGTGCGGTGTGGTGGCTGATGACAATCTCCTCTATGAAATAGTAAACCACTTGTCGCTGAAGCTGCTTAACCACTCAGTGGACTTTTCCGCCTGCGGATTCTTTACCCTGGACATGGAGACACTGTATGGCGTGAGTGGCGGGATCACCAGCTACCTTATCATTTTGATCCAGTTTAATTTGGCCGCCCAGCAGGCCAAAGAGGCCATCCAGACGTTCAACTCGCTAAACGATACCGCCGGATTGGTTGGTGCCGCCACCGATATGGATAACGGCAGCTCCACGCTGCATGACCTGGTGACCACCACCATGCTCACACCGACGGGCTAAAGTTTTGTGCTAATGTTTTTTTTTAATATTTAGAGCACCTCCTCGCACTTTTATTTCTGTCTTTGGCACTAAATAAACTCTCACGAAGCAACACGGCGCATATATTCGGCACGAGCATCCTCTATTTCGTTGAGAAGATCAGCGTATATGGCATTAGTTCCATCAAAGTCTAGGATGGCCACGCAGGAGATCTGTGCCCGCTTGTGCAGGGCATATGATAATTCCCTTCTAACTAGGGGGAAGCAGTAGGGCACCTTTTGCTGCTGGCACTGAAATTTCAAGCCCTCTATGGTCTCATCCAAACCACCTATAAAACGAAACTGTTATTTATTGCTTTCCCAATATCTGGCTTACTCACTTTCTCCCGGACAGATCTCACAATCGGTGGCCAAAAGCAGAAGTTTCACCTTGTTTATCCTTAACCTGGCCAGAGCCTCCCGAAAACCCACAACCAAACGGGCATGTGCACGCGCTTTGATCTCGTTTTTGGCAAATGCGCGTTTTTGGAAGCGATCCAGATCCTTGAGCAGCTGGATACTCAACTCCTTGAGGCGCGGGCGGGTGCAATTATCACAATAGCTGGAGGTGATTTTAAATATATATTTACGGAGTAAAAAAAAAGAACATCAAACCTTCTGAAACGTCGGGAATGTATGGAATTTATATCCTTTGGTTGTGTATCGACTTCGGAAATAGGCTCATTCAGAGATAGCTCCTGGACATGTTGTTCCACAGAATTTAATTCTTCATGGATCGCTGGACAATTCCCCACGACTTCTTCAGCTTCCCCTTCAGCGACTTCCCTTTTCGTCCTCTTTAAAGTGCGATAGCAACGCACGGATTTCTTTAACTTTGAAACCTTAGTCTTGGGATCAAGACGCGTCTTACCCTTAGGTTTGGATAATATATGGCTACTCCTTGTTATGGTTAAATGTGGTTTCCTGATTTTTCTGGCCTTGATTTGCCTCTGTGAGGGCCGAGGCTTGACGACGAAGTCCAGGAGCGAGGCTTGCTGCTCCGGTTTCCGGTGCTTGTTTTTGTACTTGGAGCTTCGCGGAGTGCTCGTGGTCGGTAGATCCTCATCATCCTTTTTGTTTATTTGCTGGTAAGTGCTCTGATTTATGATGTTTATTTTTTCGGAGTTTCGAGACATTTTAGGTTGAGCATCTCTAACATAGTGTTGATAAGCGCACGAATGGCGTAAGCCATTTTCACCACACCTTATAACAAAGAAAAAGTGTTGGCAAACAAATGCAGCCGGATCATAAAAAGGGGAAACCCAGAGAAAAACACATCATTTGTCTTCAGTAGCTAACCCATTACAGTTCCAATTTTGGTTTTCACGTAAAAATGAGCTTTGCTAACGAATTGCAAACGATTCTGGAGAAATTGTTAATTTCTGATAAAACTCGATCCGAGTATACAAAAGACGCTGAGGAAATTCAAAATTATGTGGTGAAAGAACTAAAACGAGTAGATGACACTTTTCGCGATGTTTTCGACGGGCTAAGCCTAGGTGGTAAGTTGTTAAGAATCGACTTCTGCTTATGTTTGTACATCAATTAAACTTGTAACCAAGAAACACAAATCCCTCAAATAAAATATTATCTTTAAGTTCCCCGAATCGACAGGAAGCAATCAAAAGGGTGATAGCACAAAGTTTCATAATTCCAAACTTTGTACATATGGCTCTTACAAATTGAACTGATTAATAATGATTATATATTTAAAGAAAAATGATAAATGTGCGCGTCGTTCTACTTGAAATCAAAAGTGTGGCTATAAAAAAAAATGTATTACTTTGTATTATGTATTATATTATTTTTTTTACGAAAAATACACTTACGTTAAAATAATGTTTTATTTGTGTTTTAGGAAGTTACTTGGATCGCGTCAAGTTAAACGTTCCCGATGAATTTGACCTGCACATGAAACTAAAATTTCCATTCGATATCACCCCGGAGTCAACAAGTATCAACGATGCTTTTATCTATCTGAAGGGAACTTTGATCGTAGCGCCGTGCCAACGCATCCATCGTCTTCAACTTCAAGATTGGTTGCGCGGTGCATTCCAGAAGGTATTTAAGTCGAATCCAACAGTTACCACCACCAGTGGTCGAACTTTCAAATTGGTATACACTCTTGAGGGATATGGTTGTGCTCATACCATTTTAGCCATAAGTGGAAGTCGGTCCATTTCTTTTGATTTGGTGCCGGCTTTCGAATTCACAGGACAGCAGTGGCCCTTTGGAATTCCACCGGTTTCAGCAAAAGTGCGCGAAAATTGGCCATGGTTCGCTATTCCGCAGAAGATGCTAAAGTCTAAGGCAAAAACTACATTCATGGTTTGTGCACCCCATTGGGAACGTGAAATTATGAAGGACTCGGATAATATGAAGAACGTTCTACGGCTGATGAAAGGATTAAGGGACGCCCATGCTAAGAAGTTGCCGCACTTATCCAGCTATATGTTGAAAACAGTCTTGCTTCATCGAGTCGATACAGTTGACTGGCAACAAGACTTGGGCACTCTTTTAGTGGAGATGTGGAGCCTTTTGGTGGATCATCTACGGAATGGCCGGCTGGAATACTTCATGGCAAGGGGACACAACGTATTTGTTCGGATGAATCAGGTGGAAATCAAAAAATGCCTAGCAACTTCTCAGGAGCTGCTCCAAAAACTTCGTTTGGTTCAGTTAAAAACTAACAATTTCTTTTTGGCAGAACTTTTTAATTTACCAACGTTCATTATTAATTAGATTGGAATGTTCTCGCATTACAACTTAATGTTTATTTTTTCCAAACTGCGCTCTCCACTGAGTTCGTTTTATTTACAGATAAGAAAAAAGCTTATGTATGCGAAAAGAATAAATGCTCATTTTCAAAGGGATCGCTTGAAATTTTTTTTTGCCTCTTTACGATGTCGAATAAATAAACAACTTGATAAATACGAGAAGATCAACTTCATCGTTGAATGATTTTGAATCCATTTAAAATACCAAATGTCATTAAATTGTCTTCTTGGATTTTGTATTCTTTGTTGAATTAATAAAAGCTAATTAAAACTAAAACACTAAATCGATTTGTTTAATCTTTTATTTAAGTGTAACTTGATACAGCTATGAGTCTTAAATACCTTAAGAAGAGACAACTTTGGACTTACGTGCTACAGGTAAGCGGGTAGGCAGCTGCTTACCCTGGAATTATCAACGGTAAGTACTAACTGAGGTTCCAGTTCGGCGGGATTTCGCTATAACCGAATGCTGCTTTCGATGGATATGTGCAGGTCGTTGAACTGCTTGAGGTGAGAGAGAATGTCCTCCCGCTCCCGCTCGTAAATCTCCCAGAACTTGAGGTATTGGCTGACGTGCTGGATTACCAAATTTCGGGCAAAGTCTAGGCAGCTCCTCACGTTTCGTATCCGCCGTCTGCAGCTGGCCAGGACCGAACGCACCTGCTGCTCTGGCTCCAGTTGGGCGATCACAAAGGCGAAAACGCTTTGGACATCAATCCTCACGTCGGCGGGGAACACCACGGATTCGGTGGGCTTCTCCTGCGGGAAGACAATCAGTGACGGGGAGATCGGCATGGCCAGTTCCCAGGGCAGATCGTTGGCTTGGTTATCGAAGCTAACAAAGTGCACCTCGGGGCTGCTGAGTAGCGCCGAAACCTGCAGGAAAGCTTGCGACAAAACGCCGGATAAAGCGCAGTCCGGACGATGCATAAATACCACATTGGTGGCATTAGGTTGTTGAAGCGCCTTTAACAGCATTTGCCTGTTGTATTTCCTGCTGTATCCGGAATCCATCGTAGCAGGCGCGTTCCTGTGAGTCCTGGGCAACGTTCTGGCGTAGAACTGCCGAATAAAATCCTTTAGACCCACATATGAGAAGGTGTGCTGCTGAGGCATCACGTACAGCGACTCCTCAGCCGCATCAACGATGAAAACCTGAACTTGCTGATGGTGCTGCTGGATGCCCAGCTGATGTAGATAGTCCCGATACTTTAACGAATCAAAGATCACCACGCCAAGCGACCGATTGTGGGCGGGATGCTCTGCAGAGTGCTGCCAAATGAGTTGGCCATACTTGGTTACCATCTTGGCAATGCCGATCTTCATGGCCGGCGTTCCATGTTGCGAATGAGCCAGGCAGAGGTTTCGTGAATGCAGCCTCAGCAGGACGGGGACCTTCCGTTTCCTTGGGTCATTATTGTAAGCATACTGCCTCCAAACGTGGTTAAGGTACGTGTTAATCTGATAATAGTTGGCCAACGTTTCTTTGTTTGTTCTCCAGGCGGGATAGCAGCTCTTCGCTCGATCTGTTTTCCAAAACAGCTCCTTGGGAACTTGCATGAGGGAGAAGGAATCCTTCGCTCGCCCCTCTAATGTGTTCCAGTAATCCTCGCACCCCTCAGACTGTTTCTTTTGAGCGGTGGCCATCTCCTCGCCCATGACACTGGCATGGTGGTGCTGATTCATCCGCACGCCCATTGCCAGCACGGGAACATGGCGCGCCTTCATGGCAATGGTCATGGGAGTGCCATAGCCGTTGGAGAACAGCGACATGTTCTTTAGAGTAGTCCGCACCCAGCGCAGAATGTCTATTGTCTTCCAGTCACCGGAAGTGCTATTAAATGTATGCACTCCATTTCGACTGTCGATGACTATCAACTGCGGCAGTCTGGAGTCTGGCGCCTTCAACATCTTATGAGCACTGCGGCCGAAATTCACCGTAAAGCGGATATTCCTTTCCGGATCCAGTTCCAGCCAGCGTAGGCCGGCGGCCAGGTATCGTTTGTAAGCCTGGTCGTCCGGCGAGTCTATCAGACCCAGAACCACTGCATCCGAGTGCTTTCGGATGGCGGCCAACTCCTGGCTACTGTGCGCCCGGTCCAGTGGCTGAAGCAGGTTGTTCATGAACCGGGCCAGCTCCTCGAAGCTCCAAGCGCCCTGGTACTGCAGCATCTGCTTCTGGCCGTAGCGCACCACCAGAGTGGGCCATTTGTCCGGATAGCCGCCTGCACCAACGATTCCGGGCGCCGGCATTAACGTACGGCTGCAGTTGCACTGCAGATGCCAGCAGTCGATGGCCCCGAAGAAGGCGTACTCCTGGTAATAATGAGCCAGCCCATTATACACCAATCGCGCCTGCCTGGCTTCGCTGGCCCACGACACGTAGTAAAAAAGCAAGGAGATCTCGAACTCGGCCGCTTCCGACCGAATTTTGGGCACACTGCGGCCGGGGCACTCGCCGATGGTCACCTGGTCGGATGTAGAGGATCCGGAAGCTTCCAATTGATCGACTGAAAGGGCTAAAAGCACCAGGTAGGCAATTATTTTCATTGCAACCGGCGAAGCTAATTGGTGGGCAAAAACAACAACAGCAATCGCCGCGAACAGATGATCGCCGAAAGGCTGGTTACACTGCAACATAGGTAGTGCTGCGAAACGTAAACAAATCCTGGCACAGTTTGGGAATAGTCACTTTAAAAGAATACATTAAGTTAACGATTACAATAAATCGTAAACTAAATTGTTTATGTAATACATTATAAAATATTATATTGATTGTTACAAATTAATTTGATGTAACTTAAAATATAAAATATTTTGAAACACTCTTTTCTTTGGAAACTATATAAGTTCATGAACAAATAATTTATAAAATCACATTATTTTTTGTTGAGCCATATGATACAGAAGCAACGTTTTTCAACACCCTTTGCCAGACGGTCCCTCTAATCTCTGCGAACTGTCCCACACTGCCCTTTGTTATCGATAGCAGCACTATCGATTCTAAGTGATGTTAATTAATCACTTTTACTGTTTACTTTTTTAATTAAAACTGCGTTAATTTAATTAACCAAAACGGCAGTTCCCAACAAGCAGCGAAGTGTGAACAAAGCCGTGGCAGTAGCTGTGACGAAGAAAAGGAAACCACCCAAAGGAAAATCACCAGGAAGTTGCCAATCAAAGCCATCAAAAAAAACCCCATTTGACAAAGACAACAACAATAACTGGAGTGTGTATGTGGGTGTGGGAGTGCATAGTAAAATCAGTGAATAATTTACCGTTCGGCCTTCGCCTTCCCCCGAGGAAACAACAACAAAGTCTCACGTTCACTTCCACCCACACACACATACGTACGCACCTCGCATTTGCACGCATACACACGCAGGCCAGCCGATAACCTGTGTGTGAGGCAATCGCCGTCATCGTCCGAAATCAAATCACTTATCGGGAAAAACAACAATAGCAGCTGCAGCATAATCAACAATTAAATATATAAGACTCAAATATGGGACTGTTATTATCGCGGCTGTGGCGGATGTTTGGCAACGAGGAGCACAAGTTGGTGATGGTGGGCCTGGACAACGCGGGCAAAACGACCATCCTTTACCAGTTCCTCATGAACGAGGTGGTTCATACCAGTCCAACGATCGGTTCCAATGTGGAGGAGGTCGTTTGGCGGAATATCCACTTCCTGGTCTGGGATCTGGGCGGTCAGCAGAGCCTCCGAGCCGCCTGGAGCACTTACTACACGAACACAGAGCTAGTGATCATGGTCATCGACTCCACGGATCGGGAAAGGCTGGCCGTTACGCGGGAGGAGCTATATCGGATGCTGCAGCACGAGGATCTGAGCAAGGCCAGTTTGCTGGTCTACGCCAACAAGCAGGACCTCAAGGGATCAATGTCGGCGGCGGAGATATCGCGGCAACTGGACCTTACCTCCATAAAAAAGCACCAGTGGCACATCCAGGCCTGCTGCGCGCTAACCGGCGAAGGACTCTACCAAGGATTGGAGTGGATCGTGCAGCGCATCAAGAATAAATGACCCGCCACACGCTACTATACTAGCTAATTAATCATTAACAACTAGCTGCCTAGAGAAAGTAAACCAATTTTGATATAAACAATTTTTAAGCGTTTCCAAATTGTTTTAAAAGTTGTTGCCAAGCCAATTTTATTTAGTGTAAAATACGTCTTGTCGGGAGACCCTTAATGATTTAAATCTACGTGTATATGGATAATGTCTAGGAGCTAAGCCAATTAACTACGATACTTCCAATAAAATTACAAAATAAACAAGTTTATTTCGACACTGTCGCGTATCAAATTGAATACAAATTACAAATAGAGAAGTGGACGTATGGACGTATTTGCCTCTCTGAGCATTGCCTTGTAATTGACATTGTTGGCTCGATTCGCTGATGTGTGAGATTGTTTGTACTCTATCGTCTAAAATAAATACATGGTTGTGTAAAAGTTAGTGTCTAGGATTAGGTAAAAACATTAGCATACTAAAATATAGCCACAAGAACAATTTGATCACAAAAGTAAAAGCAAAATAAAGAGCAGGGTCAGTGGGTCAAAGGTCTAGGTGAGATTGCAGGAGCTGCTGCAGCTCTTTAAAGGCTTTCCTTGGCCCAAAGTGATGGTGTTTTCCGGCACCTCCTCCACGTTGTTGGCGTCGTGCTGGCGCTGTCAAAGGAACATTATTAGTTTTGTTAACTATTAGAGGAGAGACTTACCTTAAGCTCGTTGGCCAGGCAGCGGAAGGCATCCTCCACGTTCATGTTTTCCTTGGCGGACGTCTCCATCACGAACAGGATCTCAGGTATATATTGACACATCTGGCGCGCCTCTTCGAAGTCCACTTCACGCTGCTCCTCCAAATCGCACTTGTTGCCAACCAGGATTATCAAAACATTGGAAGCCGTGTACCTGCGCACCTCCTCGATCCACTTTTGCAGGTTGGAAAAGGAAGACCGCTTGGTGATGTCGTATACTGCAGGAAAAACACAAGGCTGTCAAACAAGGTAAACAAACACCTAACTGATAAGGCGGTCCGCTATTAAAATCAGCGCCAGGCAATTACTTTAAAGCGTTCAGTAGTTATCAGTAGTACTTATTTGCCATGACAAATGGATGGGCGTATGCCCCGAAGCCGCAAGATACTGGACTCACCAATTAAGACCCCGTTGGCCGAGCGATAATAGCTCTGCGTAATGGTGCGAAACCTCTCCTGACCAGCAGTGTCCCAGATTTGCAGCTAAAAGATATGAGAAAGGATGAGTCATAAGGGACTGGGGCGTTGGTAATCCTTTTTGCACCTTGATTTGCTTGCCCTCCACTGCAATTGTCTTCATGGAGAAGTCCACTCCGATGGTGTTCCCATGGCGCTCTATGTAGTTGCCAGTCTTAAACCTGTCCACTATGCAAGTCTTCCCCGTTCCGCAGTCGCCAATCAGGACAATCTTGAACAGGAAGTCGAAGTTCTCCTCGTTTGGCAGTGCCATCAGCGTCTGGGGATTGCGGGCGGTCATCTTTTGGCCTCCGTTCTGGCCGTTAAGGGGTCTCTTTTGCCTGTGGCCCTTCTTTTCCAATGACAACAAAGAGTGAAGTAAAACTAAAATTAATTGATACGCAATATCAGCTGTTGGCTATCGATAGTTGTGGCCATCGGTGTGTGTTTTTACTTTAGCTGTATTTGATATCGAAAACCGTTATCTTGTGTCATCTCTAATTAAAGTTGAGAGCTGAAATTCAAAATAAGCTTTTTGTGGTATTATAAATTTATTGATTTAGAACAGATAACAATTATGACCGAATTCATTATCTTACTTTATTAGTTTCAAATCCTTTGTCCTTGGACGATTTTTAAAAATGTAGGAGTTCAAAAATCGTATTACTTTGTATATTTAACGAAAGATGTATTCTATTCAGTTAAACAAGTATTATGTAAATTAAAGACAGATCGCTTTAGGAAATATATCTAAATTTATTATATTTTTTTTTGGCAACAAAACAGTGTTAGTTTGGTTGAATTTTCTTTGTTTTCTTTTTTTTTTTTTTGCATTTAAAAAGGGTTGACCTAAACCAATATACACGATTTTCCAATACCGACATGCCAGCTCGCACTAGTCATTTAGAAATGGAAATCTATTTTGCAGATTGTGACATTACGCAATAAAGCTGTAAATATGTTGACGATTTATTTAAATGATTCCCAAATGGAAAGCCCACTTGCGTGCAAATCCATGTGAATCGGGGTACATAGCCCAATTAAAGCGGCGATCACGTAGGTCAGGCTTTCTTGATAACGCTTGGGACTCCAATAAATTTTCACCACGTACCTTGATGATGGCGCCATTTGACGCTAAAGAGTTCGCTTTATAGGATTGTAAATATTTATGGTGTGTTTGCAAGAAATTCCTCAAGTTTTCCCCATGGAAATCTCTGCCAAATAGAGACCTTGACCCACATCTTAACTTTTGCTTCTAGACAGCGAAACGAGACTCACTTTCAAACCGCAGCGGAAGCGGCCGAGAAACATGTTCTATGTATCTCACCTCATGCAAATAAGCTGGCCAACTGCTTCGATTGCCAACCGAATTGGAAACCGCATGCCAGATGCGCCTGCACGCACGCACTGTCGCATCCATTTCGCATGGAAAGTTTAATTGCGCCGGTCTAAGACGATCTGGGGGCCAAAGTCTAGTCGAGAACTTGTCCCACGATTAACCTGATGCTGATGGACGTTGTCCACACAGAAAAAAAACAGGTAATGGCCATTATGAATCTAAGAAATTATTAAATTCGATGTTATCTTGCGTTTCTTTCAATGAATGGAGAAATTCAAAATGAAATGAATGATTTTGTAAACTTAATCAATTGATCAATACTATTTACTTAGGACCAGTTTTCCTATGACTAGCTTTGATTAAAACCTAGAAGATTACAATTAAGTTAGTTAAATACAGGAAGACACAAATTAGCTTCTTTATTAAAAAAAAGTTTTTTAAGTGTAAGTGACTTTATTTTCTATTAGCCTCCTTTTAAATATTGAATAAAAAGTTTGGCTTATTGGTTGTCAATTAAAATGATTATTAAGTTTTAAGAAAATGTCTTAAATAAATAAATTATGATCAGCTCAAGCTCTATACAAATGGTATTTTGCCAAATGGCTAATTTCTAAAAAAAACAAATTAAAACATAATTTATGCTGTGCCAGTTTTTCCGTGTACAGCCTAGAAGTGAAATGAATTGGCAGCCTTAAAAGTCCCAAACAGCAACCTATTTTCCGACCAGGAAAGCCCTCGCGATGAGTCACAGGAATGCTGTGGAGTGCTCCCAGCTGGACCAGCTCCCTCCGCTGTTTACCTTCCTACTTCCCTGCAGCTTGAATTCTTCCTCGCAGGCAAAAGGAAATCAAACAGCGAATTGGCAACTTCACACAGAGCTTCTCAAACACGAAGACCAGATCAAACGAATATTTTCAGGCCTGGCTGACTGGTTTGCCGTTTTGGCTGGCGGGTAGCTTCTGCCCGACTACTTCCCCTGAACACCCCCCCGAAGCCCCTGGGTTCTCGGCCTCACTTTTGCATTGTAGTTTGGCCCGTTCGTCGTTGCTTTTTATCGCTCGCCTCGACCGCTGGCCGCTTTAGTTGAATTTCAAACGTTTGCGCGCGCGGTTGTCGGAACGTGTCCCGAAAAAAGTCGAAAAGCCGAGACATAAAATCCATTGAGGCTTTGACAAGCGCTTTTCCTGCTATCCAAAGGACCACCATTTGCAGTTTGAAAAGTGAAAAACGTGCAGAGATCTTTGCCTATGAAAAAAGTTTTACGCTTGATCTTTAACTGAACTTTGTGAGAAGAGGAAGGAGTATTTTCCAGCGGAAACTAGGACAGGCAACCTGACCAGTTTGGGAAATCATACCCAGCAAATAAAGATTATGTAAGCTTCAGACTCCTCTCGCAGAATGTGCAAAAAAAAAAAATAAAACCCAATTACCTAATTGTCATGCATCCGGCGTTATCGCTTGTCAACTTTCTACCCCCGCTCTTTTTGATTGATTTCTTCACTTATTCGAGGCACGAACATCCAAATCCAATCCGAATCGAAATCCGGTGGACACTTGCACTTTCCTCCGTCGAAATTACCTTTCGCAACAATTGCTTTTGTTTTGTTTGCCGCATTTCTGATTAATTATTCAGCACCATTTCTCGCAGTGCGGGTGCAACGTGCCCGCTAAAACGAAAGACTTGAGCAACGAACTTTTCGGCGTGTGTCAATTTGGCTGCGATCGGGTATGAAATAATCAAAATTATTATTCGATCTGAAGTGCCAGCGCTCACCTGCTGACCCAGTTTTCGGTTTCACTGCAAAAATTAAGTAAATTTCTTTATGTCGCCGTAAAAGCAAAACTCTCTGGATTCTGACAGACGGACGTGGATACGTCCATACTTAGCAGGCGCCAATTAAAGCTCAGCTGCACTAATTCGCCATAAGTTGCCAAGGCTTTTCACTGTCTCGAACACCGTCTCTTTCTCTTTCTCTGACTCTGACTCTGTCTCTTTCTCGATCTCGATCTCTGTCTCAGCTCACTTCTCACACATTCCCAACTGACATTTGTTGCGTGTTTGTTGTTTGTTTGTGTCTGCCAACTATTTTGCCAAAGGGTAATTCCCCTGGCACATGAAATTGGCTACCGAAAGCTGTAAATCTAATGCCTAAAATATGTAAACATATTTTGTATATTTAATGTACCTGCCTACATTTAAGTTATATCATAGTGGTCGAAACGAACTCTATGAACTTGACAGGTCTACACTTGTAGGGGACCTTTTGGAACCCTCTTTTTGAACCTTGTCGTAAATGTGGGACGCTGTAAATTTACTTAACAGACACCCGAAAACAATTTACAAATAGTTAACGAACTGTCTTAGTTATTTGTTGTTTGTTTTTATACCCTTGCAGAGGGTATTATAATTTTGGTCAAAAGTGTGCAACGCAGTGAAGGAGACATCTCCGACCCTATAAAGTATATATATTCTTGATCAGGATCACTCCAGTGATAACCATGCCGTCTGTCCGTCGTCCGTCGTCCGTCGCCGTCGTCCGTGTCCGTCTGTCCGTCTGTCTGTCCGTCGTCTGTTTCACGCGAACTAGTCTCTCAGTTTAAAGAATCGAACGAAACTTCACACACCCTTCTTTCCTTGCACGCAGTATATAAGTCGGAACGGCCGGGATCGGCGACTATTCCTATACTGAAAATCCATAACTTTGGTTTGTAAAGTAGGAGTGAGATTTCTATAGGTTTTATTTTGGCCAATCAATCTGACCTACCGAATTTCATGAGAATCGGCCGACTATACTATAGCTGTCAATAACTAACGATCGGAAAGCCATAACTTTGGTGTTGTAAAGTTAGGAAGTGAGATTTTCTATGGTTTATTTTTGCCAATCAATCTGACCTACCGAATTTCATAAACCACTATACTACACCCATAAACTAACGACGGAAATGCCATAACTTTGGTGTTTGTTAAGTTAGGAAGTTGGGATTTTCTATGGTTTTATTTTTAGCCAATCAATCCTACCTATTAAATTTCATAAGGATCGGCCGACTATATCCTAAGCTGCCATATAACAACATTGGAAAGCCATAACTTTGGTGATTTTAAATAAAGTTGGATTTTTGAAGTATTAAAAATGCATATGAATAATTTTGAGAATATAATTTCAGAGTATTCTGCAAGTATTCCCCTCTTCTTGTTTTAAAGTAATACATATTATTTACCAAAGAGAGAATCGTAAAAGTAGGTCGATTTAATACTATTCAAAAACTTTTTAAATTTATTTTTATTTCTTTAATTACTAGTTGAGATTATTGGTTGTAAAAAAATGCACTATTTGCTATTAGCTGAATGTTAAACACAGTCATTATCCATTAGCAGTTGAATTTTCACCAAAATTCGGTTAGGAGTGGTGGTAATTTTGTTTCACATAAAAGGCATTTAAGCTTCGACTTCATTTCTGCATTGAAATAAAAGTGATCCTCGGTCAACATGTGTTAGGCCACCATTCATGGCCATAAGCGAGAGTCGCCGCCAAGGCGTCGCTGTCATCTGAAGAGGATTGGTTGGGTTCGGAGTGAAGTGGAGTGGAGCAGAGTGGAGTGGGGATACCGGACGGGCCAGTTGTGGCGCTTCCTCAACGCACTTGCCCATTCGGAGGCAGCTGCTCCGCCTCGTCCTCCTCCCTGTCCAGCCTAGATAGTGACCCAATTTCCATTTCGCGTCTATCACTGAGCTGCAATTAATCTCATCTGCATTTTGGCTTTTTTTGCTGGCCACGCCCACCGGCTGTACGCCTGTCTGCCCAAAGTGACGTCTTGACACCGAGTTTGCCTAGGCCTAATTTCCTTGTAGCTTTGTAATTGCGGAGAAACTCTAACAAACATTTAGCTAAATGACTGTGAAGGAGGAAGAAATACTTGACTTACTTCCAATAAATTATTAAGTTGAAGAAAATAAAATACAAAATTAAAAGAGGACTTCTTCTTTAATAGGGGATTTTCATTATTTTGACCATGAATTCGACATTTATTTGTAAATGTAATAATAGGCCACTTTTACATAAATATAACTATCAGTTATTTATCATTGAACTTATTACAATAGTAATTATTTTTGTTAGTCGAATCCTTATTTTAGACCAAAGCACCAGATCCTTCTCTTACGTAGCAGATAGATTAAAGATCTTTCACCACTAGTAACGCCCACCGGCCTGCCTGATATCTTGTTTACTTTGGTTGCCAAATTGGGAGAAACTCTTCCAACCTTTTGGGTTATTGAGTAGATGATTTTTAAGGCGGAGTGTGTGGAGCAGGCTGAAATGCCTTGGTCTAGATAGATGGGGAACCTGCACCTCCCAGTTGACGCTGAAATTGCAGCCTTTGGGAAAGTGCTGCCGCATTTGGCTGGGGCTCTAATGATCGCCTCGGATCGCTAACGGATCGCAAACACTCGATCTATCTATCTATATATTGCGAATCAACGCGAACCGGCTGTGGCAAGTGGCAGGTTCTTCGCTTAGTTGCATCATTGGTGGTGCGGTAAAAGTGCGTCTTGCTCCATTTAGATTCTTTTCGGGGTGAAATCGACTACTACTGCAACTGGTTTCGTTTAGAATTATAAATCAATTTGTTAACATGCTTTCACTGGACACACACGCTTATTGCCAATTCTTTTTGCATCTGGGATTGACGTGAATTTGTGTAGCTGTTGCTGCAAGTCGTAATCAGAAGGCTAACGGTTAGAGCCATTGCAGCTGGAACAATGCCAAGAAGTGGGGAAAAGCTTTCCCAAAAAATCGACATGGAGCTCTAAGCTAAAAAACCAGTTAAAAAGATGAAAAACAGGGGGTTGCTTCGAGGCGAAAAGAAGTGGGATCCTAAATCTAGTTGAGAATCCAGAATGGGGTGTGCAGACCAGTAGGTGAGGCCATGTGTGTGCCACAATTGCTGTTATTTAACTGTTGTATAATGGTGGCCATTAGTCCAGTCTTTTGCCAACTCAATTGTTAGATAGACGAAATTGGAATGGTGGTCCCCGTCTAGTCGAGTTCGTTGCCTAAGTCTTTTGTTTCTGGTGAAAACTAAAGTAAACAGAAGAAATGTACTTTCAAGAAACTCACTATTACTGTCTCTTTCTGTATAAGAACTATACTTAATCAGCTATTAAATTCAATCGACCAATATTTCCAGTTTGTATCTTAGTTTAAATCTACTTTCAGTGGAGATAGAGCAATCATACTACTAATAGCTGCCGAATGGGATTCTCATTCAATAAATGATCAATCTATTGCATGTGGCTCTTACCACTCTAATCACTATTATCAGCATCTAAGTGTTATTATGACAGCAATTATTGGATTGTTTAGGAAACGAGCTTGAAAACATGATACATAATCCATGAATAACTGAAAAAGTGAATTGCGGTTTTTGAGTTAGGTTGGTTTTATCTTTTTAAGCACCTAAGTAATAAGATTATCAATTTATTTTAGACAAGATGGTTGTCCACTCTTTTAATAATATTCATTACCATCCTAGCAATCATCACCTCAACTGACTATGGAGTTGCAGAACTTGTTAAGGCGCCATAGCCACCTGCTCTTCCTACTGCTACTACTGCCACTTGTCAGCTTATGTCCATTTGCACTGGCGCTTAATCGACAGGCGGATGCTGGTCGGGATTTGGATATGGCAGCACAGCTGGCGGATGCCGAGGCCCAGGCAACGATGGACTACGATGCGGACTCCCCGGACACGCCGCACATACGAAAGAAGCGTCTCATCTGGATCACGGACGATGGCCGATTGGCCCTGCCGCCGGGCACTTCACTGACTTTTGTCCCAACCATTGCCATGCCCCTGGTGCGTCATCCGCCTGAGGGATTCTTCTCCAACCTGACCATCAGCTTTCCCGTCACCAGTGAGTAGTCATCGGCTTAGGCCAATGATTAATCAATTAACTCTGATGGTTTCGACAGTTGACTTTGACAAGCTGGGACTGACGGACAACCAGAATCCTCTGGGGGATCTGCCGCCGTTATTTGCCCGCTCCTTTGGCCACGAAGCCGGTCACATGGTGGGTGAATATGTGGCCCGGTACCTGCATGTCCAGCGCAGGAAGAGGGATCTCAGCGAGCAGCGCAGCAGGAGCGACGAGGATCATCCATTTAGGGTTCACGAGGAGGGTCCGAAATTTCCGGAACTGCCCTCCGGATTTCAGCATATTTTCCACGGCGGTGAAAGGGTTCTGCTGTACGGCGTGGTGGAGGACTTCCTGTCCACCTTCGGCATGGATGGCAGGGCCTGTTTGCTGAGGACCATCTGCGAGATGCATTCGCGAAGTCTGGAGAAATTTGGGGTCTTTGGTGAAATGACCAAGCTGTTTTTAACGTAAGTATTTTTACTTTGTTTAACCAAATCTTTGACAATCAATCCTTAAATAATTTCCTTTACATTACATCCTTCTAGGGTCACCAAATCCCCATTTTCCGACCTCGTCCCCGATTACGTGCAAGCTCAGGAGGTGGGAGAGGGAAAGCAGGCCCCAGGCGAATGTTTTCCCTACTTCAAGGACTGTCCGAAGAGCATCTTCAAGGCCTTGTCCAGCAAATATAGCAAGCAAGCCACGGTGGCTAAGACGAAAAGGACAAAGCCCACGGACAGACCCGTGGGTGAGTATCACGAGCAGCATGTGATCCAGTTGCCCACCACGCGAGATCGGGACAACGATGTGTATATGTAGAACCACTCCATTATCCCATGCGAACTCCCATTGTTGACCTCGTCTAGTTTTTAGGATTATGGTTGAATTAAGCGCGCCCTCAAAGTCACTTGCTTGTAATTAATGTGTACTAATTATTGTATTATTATTTATTTTATTTACGCATTGTATTTATTGTTAGTCGTAGGCGTTGTTAACTGCTTAGATTTGTATCTCTGTTTTCGTAGTGTTCTGTAAATAATTGCAATTGTGGCATAATCCCCTCGAACCTCAGTGAAGTTACTCCTCCTCCCACACAATGAAACCTTGTCCAATAAATAGAAAATTAATTCCGATTAACAATTGTTTTGCTGCAGCCGTTTTTCTACGTAAACAAATGGCATGCATTCCCGGCCATCACTGCGTATACGTTATATGAGATGGTTTTATGAGTGTTTACATGATGCCAAACAAATGCTTCAGGTGGTCAATGGGTATGCAGTTTATGCAATAGAATATGGATACATTTTTGGCTATACCATCCAGGCGGACTGCATCGCTCATCCAGTGCTGCTGTTGCCCTCCAAAGGTCACGAACTTCTGCAGGGCTTCGTTGTAGGTGATGACCTTGTGAATCATGAGGAGCTGAAAAGGGAAGTAGTTTCGCTTTAGAAAGATTTAGGGAGGTAATTTCAAGAACAAAAGCTTTTGAAGAAACATCTCCTTAAAATCTTATATTTATGTAAATTTTGTAGTGACTTTGAATAATGAAGACCTATTCTAATTTTGCAATAAAAATGTTTTGTAATTTAAAATTTTTAAGTGTATTAGATATTCAAACCTCGATAAAAAGCGTGGCCAAGGATAAATTGCAGTCGCAAGTGGCGTTGTATCTCAGGCGATAAAAGTGCAGACCCTTCAGGACGAATATATCCGACAGGTCTGAAATATTGTTTGCCGTTCCAATGCGGAGCAGCAGGCGCAGGACATTCCGGTACTTGATCATCCGCTCGCCCTGGATGCCCTGCATCCTCGGCACATAAGGGCAGAAGCTGCGGCGGTCGAACTGAGGATACACCTGGAATAAAGCCAGCCAGTAGAAGGTGCCGCTGCTGCAGTGCGTCCAGGCAGGACCCGAGGGCACGAAGGTGGGAAGCGGGTGCTCTGCGAAGCTGAACTGCAGGGCCGGCAGGAACACAAAGGACACTACCCTCGGCATTCCACCGAAGTCGCGCTTTTCGCAGGCTAGGATTTCGTGAACGAGTCCCTGGTCTCCGATCTCATGACTTCGATAGCTCAGGCGGTACTGCAATCCACTTGAACAGCGAATAACGCCTAGTTGGCTGATCGCATCCCGGAGATTTCCCCGCAGCAGGAGCTGTATACTCTCCGGATTCACATAACCATTGCTGACCATGGGATGCGAAGTGTGTGCGAGGAGGTTGATGTATCCCGGTTTCGAGGCATTGAAGACAGGTGTCACTGGAAAGGGCATCCGAAATCGTAGGTACTGCTCGAAGTTCAGGGGAAAATCGATCTTGGAAGCCCGATAAAAATTAGCTGTGGCCAGGAGATTCTGCATCATGAATCTGTACACCACATCCTTTTCGGCCATTGCCTCTGTCACAATCTGGCAAATGGACTCCGCATCTGTTAGCCAGTCGGCATCGCTCTCGTCGATTTCCCCATAGTCCGAGATCATATTGATGCCCTCGTGAAAGAGGAAATGTCCTTCTGGCAGGTATAAAACTGACTCTGCTTTTAATTTATTGTGCTCCATTGGGAAACTTTCCAAGGCGACTGGTTAAATGCAAGTGAAGCTTCAAAACAGCCACAAGGGGCATGTTTTCCATTGTGTAACTTAATATTCTGTTTACGTATGACTTAAACAAAGGTGTCAAGCAACTGTTATGTTCTCCAATTCTAAGCCATGTACTTAAAGTATATAGGACATAAATCGTATTCAGCGATAGTTTACTCTATTTAAGCCATTGATCCAAACTATGTCCATATGATAAAAGTAAAAGATTATATTTCAAACTTGAAGTCAGCTGCCGGCTTAAACATCAATGCAAGCATAAAGATGGAAAAACAAGCCTTTCTTTAAATATTTATTTTTTATCACAAAATTGAAATCACGCGCCATAAACTTCAACACTTTTAGTTAGCCAACACTTCATAAGTAGCTTTACAATACCAGCCCACTAATAGCATTTTCCCTGAAATTGTATTTCTTAATAAAACGGTAAAAAACTTGTTTAAATATAGGTTTATTTATTCCTAATTTGGTTTTCTGTTTAAAATTGAATTTAATTATTAGTTTATTTCTAAGTCCGGTGGGAACGCAGTGTTTTTCTACTGCATTTTTCACTGCGGCCAAACGCCCCTGCCTCGCCTGGCCACACTGGCAGCTTTGTTTTGGTTTCGCAGCGAGACTTTGTCGTGAGTTCTTTTCGTTTATTTACCAAACTCTGCACAAACAAACCAGCGCCTTTACGTGTTGCACAGATGTTTGCGGATCGCCGGGGCAATCAATAAGCGAACGGTGAGTGTATTCGAGAGGGTGAGTTGCTGCCCCGGAACCGGGAACACCTCCCCAGTGGAAAGTGTGAGTCAGGCGATGTGCTGATTGAATTGGATTATCACGATATGGGCCCCATCTAATTGCCAGCCGGCATTGTAGTTGTTTACATTGCGCGGACGTGGCGCAATATATTTTTAATCTTCTGCGGTGCGGCAACCTGCTGATTAAGATACCCCGTCGCACCCTTGTACAGATAACTTGGCAGTGGGACTCCGGAGCTGTCAGACGATGGACACGAACGCTGGGGAGTCGGCATTGGCATCGGCATCTGCATCGCCATCGCCGCCATCGAGCAATGAGGCGGCGGCGGGATCCCAATCCCAGAGCGACGTCTCCGAGGAGGAGGAGTATCTGGACAACAGCATCGAGCTAAGGGGCTATCTGAGCAAGTGGACCAACTACATCTACGGCTGGCAGCCGCGCTACATCGTCCTGAAGGACGGAACCCTCTCCTACTACAAGTCCGAATCCGAGTCCGATTTCGGGTGCCGTGGAGCCATCAGCCTGACCAAGGCCACCATTAAGGTAGGAAAGTCGAAGAGGGGGCGGAGCTCGTCCGGCAAGTGTTTTCAATTGGACTAATAAAAAAGTAATGGGCGTGAGTGTGTGCGCATGTGTTTGGGACGCATTAACCAACGATGACCACGACCCGAGGTCTCAGTCTCAGTCCCAGTATACCTCCACTTCCATGTCCAATGCCAATACCCATACCCATACCCATTCCGATTCCCATTCCGTGCGACGCAATCAATGCAGCGCAATCAATTAACGTTGGGCGACCAAAATAGACCAAATTGAAGTCATCAATGTATGTGGAGAGCCCCTTGCCCTCCGCTTTAATTCCCCTTGTTGACAGAAGGGCGTTCTGTTCTATGAGGGTGTTTCACCATGAGTGTGTACTTATCTATTTATACTGACGAAGCTGCCAAAACCATATAAACAATGGTGACTCACTCGCAGTAATCATTCCTGTAACTGGCATTCGCTTTTGAAGAACTGATCCTTTTAAAAAATATTTAAGCTTAATCTAGTTTGAGCAAGTTTTTCCTAATAATCGTTATGTGTTCTATAAGCATCGAGATTATGTCGTTATGTATTTATTGTTTTAGACATTCATCATAGTTCTCTGTGCTGTTTTATGTGAATTGTTTGTGAATTTAAATAATTAGAAATTATAATAAGTTAAACTAACAAACAAAGTACCGGAGCTTATGGAATATAAGTGTTGTGGGAAAATAAGCTTACTAAAGACTAATGTATCATAATTACGTGTAATTAGGTGCAATTTGGTTTCCCTATGTAAACGATTCTATAATTTGAAGCCTTTGTAACACAATTTTTTTTCTTGTATTTATTGGTTCGAGTTTCGGAGGTTCGACTGTTTGTTCGATTACCAGACACACATCGAAGGTCAATCTTGTATTAAGGTGTTTTTTCTTTTAATGCTAGGCATTAATGACCGATTCGCTTTAATTGCTGTGTTTCTTACCATTGCTACAAAAACTTGTTGAGTTTTTACTATATAGTTTAATTTTTCGAACTTATTCTATATATATACTAAGATATAATAATTAAGTTATGAAATTTTTACCTATTTAATAAAATAATAAAATAAAATATAAAATTTCCATTTAACCTTGCGTTACGATTAAATGCCAAACTTTTTCTTTGAAATCGAAAATTGATTTTGCCACAAGTAGGTTAACCACTTGCAAGTGTCAAGCTCCGCGCTTATCTGGTATATTTCAGACATCATTAAGTTTAGATATTTATTTGAGCATTCTTCTTTGTCAGGCCCACGAGTCGGACGAACTACGCTTTGATGTAGTGGTCAACAACCTGAACAACTGGTGCCTGCGGGCGGAGACGAGCGAGGACCGCATGCACTGGGTGGAGGTGTTGCAGCTGTACAAGGAGGACACGGGTAGCACGGATACCACTTCCTTGCGGCGCCATGGCAGCACCATGAGCCTGCAGTCGAACACCATCTCGCTGACCAGCGGGGGAAGCCTGAAGAAGACGCAGCGCAACCTGCGCGAGAAGGTCGGTGAGCTAGAGACTTTCAAGGACATCCTGTTCGGACAGATCGAGACACTGCAACGATACTTTGACGCCTGCTCGGAGGTGAACAAAAACAATGCCCAGCCACTGGACCTGGGCGACGGTCTCAAGTCCATCGACTTCAAGGTAAAGTAGAGCACTTATCGGAAAATTCTTGCTATGTACACTCAGTGCATCACTCGATTTTCTCAGGGGGAATCCATCACGTTTCGGGCCACCACGTCTGGCGTGCTCACCACCCTGCAGCACTGCCTAGAAATCATCGCCGAGAGCGATGACTCATGGAAACGGAAACTGGAGCGTGAAATTGATAAGCGCCGTCGTTCCGAGGACCAGAGCAAGTAGGTTGACCTAGTCCGAGTAGAATTCGGAGGGCAGAAGCCATTTAGACTGATTTTGTTGCATTTGCTATTCATTTTTTACTTAAGTCTTTAACTGTAACCAAACTTTTCATTTGTTGATAAATTCAAAAATTAACATAAAATTGCCCAAATTATTATTACATATATAAAGAATGTATTTAAATAATTATATAAAATAATTTTCCAAGTTTATCAATTTAAAAAATTTTTTTGCTAAACAAAAATTCCTGTCGATTATTTTTTGCAGAAAGTTCAAGGACGAAATCGAGAAAATGAAGCGTTTATCATATCCTGGCCCAGATTTTGAGGTGAGTACAATTTTACAGCTCGTAAAAGCAAAAGCGTAATCGCATTCACGGTCATTGCTGTTTGAATCGGGGCCAAACACGTTCCCACTGAAAAAGCAAACAATCGCCGAAGGAGAGAGTGGCGCGAAATTCGTAAAAACGATTTGCGTGTGATTTGTCTGCGTCTTAAAATAAACTACCAAACTCGACGTTGTGTCAGAGATTTCATCATATCAACGGAAAATAGAATAAACTGGACTATTATTTAAGCGGTTTCAAATGAATCGAGGAATTACTATGTTTGGTTCCGACTTTTGGCTAACACGAAGTTTCTATGTTTTGCTCTTATCTGCAATGGGTCATGCAATATATAGCTTTTCCCTTTTTTTTGCCGTCTGATATCCGCTTTGTTTTTTGTTGCCTACTCAATTATAATTTAATGGCATACGTCCATAATTGTTGGAAAAATTTTCTGCTTCTCTAATCAGGGTCTGTAATGATTTGTAAGTGCTCGATTTGGTCGGGCTTCTTGGTACAATCATTTTGCGACTACTCAAGCTCAAAGAGTGGGCGACTAACAACAATTCCGAAGATTTACGTCGAGCACACATTGCACACATTGATGTTGACAAATAATCACACAGTTGGACTGAATAAGCTTTCTGTAACGGGTACATTTTCTGATACAAGTAATGTATAAAATAATTTGTATTACATTTATTTGCTGGTTAAAAATGCATTTTAAAATAATACGTATAGAATCTTGATACAAAAATATATATGAAATCATATAGACAAATTTGATATTCTTCCACAGTTCATTACTTTTTATAAGTTTAAAATTACTAAAGCGTACCTTTTATTTTCTATTTTGTAATACTTTTTAGTATCATTTATATATTCATATTTTTTCAACTTAACAAATCCAACCAAGAGCATTTGAACTTCTCCTTGTTATTTGAGCTCTGGTTTTCAGCCTGGCTTACAGCTGTCAGGTTTATGGCTTATGAGCTGGCTTGGTCAGCCGGCGGTCAGCGATCGAGTAGCCAACACGTACCAATCATAAACAAATTCGCTTGGCAAACAATTCAAAACGAAACCGTTTCCATTTAATATTTGTCGTGCCTTTAATTGAGTGTGCAGATTGTGAAATTCTTGTATTGCATTGAAAGAGCTATTATAAATACATATACACACAAGTGTACCGAGTGCTAGCAAATCTAAAATCGCCGCACGCAGAAAAAGATAAATACACAAATTTATAAACAACGTCAACGCCATGCCCTCGGTGCGATTTCTTTGGCACTCCGGCGGCTTTCAGAAGGGCAAAGTCAAACAAATAAAGGTACACCAGAAGAAAATAATAAAAAAATGTACATTTAAGGAGTGTGGATTAGGGCGGAGTGTTTCTAAATATTTCGGTTTTTGGTGTGGAAAATTTTGAAGTCATAATAATTTGAATTGATAAGAAGCCTAGTAAGT